AAACACTGTGTTTTTCCAATGATTTGTGGCTCCGGAGGGTCGAAAAGTAGGCTAGCTAAAGCGGCGGGTGCGGACCCAGCTGGCCACAGGAGCGATGAAAAATTGCACGCCGTTGTGGCGCGAAGCACATTTCCAAGTCAAAATGTACAAAACAACTCAGGTCCGGACCACTTTTGGAAGTTGCGATGTCGAAAAAGTGCACGCCGTTGTGGCGCGCAGCACATTTCCAAGTCAAAATGTACAAAACACCTCAGCTCCGGACCACTTTTGGAAGTTGCGATGTCGAAAAAGTTCACGCCGTTGTGGCGCGAAGCACATTTCCAAGTCAAAATGTACAAGACACACCAGCTTCGGACCACTTTTGGAAGTTGAGATGTCGAAAAAGTGCACGCCGTTGTGGCGCGAAGCACATTTCCAAGTCAAAATGTACAAAACACCACATGTTCGCGCCACTTTTCAAGGGTCCGGATGTTGAAAAAGTGCACGCCGTTGTGGCGCGAAGCACATTTCGAAGTCAGAATGCACAAAACACCACATGTTCGCGCCACTTTTGGAGGTTCGGATGTTGAAAAAGTGCACGCCGTTGTGGCGCGAAGCACATTTCCAAGTCAAAATGTTAAAAGCACCAGGGGTTCGGACCACTTTTGGAGGTTCAGATGTCGCTGCGCTTCAAGACACGACACTACAGGACATTACACTACACTACACTACACGCCAATACATTACATTACACTACATTACACTCCAGTACACTCCACTACACTAAATTACACTACACTACACTACATTACACTGAATGACACTGCAACACAGATAGACAGGTAGACAGCTAGACAGATGAAAGGGAGAGATAGATAGACAGGTAGGTAGATAGGCAGAGAAAGAGAGAGAGAAAGAGAGAGAGAAAGAGTGAGAGAGATCAAGCACCTTTCAATCCAATCCATCAGTGGCTTCGCTCTGCCATCCTTGATTCACAACAACCAACCTCTCCTATAGGTTTCCTATTTTTGAAACTTCCGCCACGGCCTTGTGCGGTACTACTGGTAATATATTCGGATTCGTAGATTCCAATATGTATTTGTTCCGGATAGCGTATGCTAATGGGGTCTTCAGCCCAGAATAGTTCCGGTGTGCACTGGTGTAGGCGCCGGTCAACGAGGTTCCGGAAAAGGTTCCGAAGGTTCCGGAGAGGTCTGGGAGGCTTTGGTGCAGAGCGAGATCAGGTTCAACAGGGTTCCGGAAAAGGTTCCGAAAAAGGTTCTGAAAAAGGTTCTAGGAAGCCTTGGCGCAAAGCCAAGTGAAGTTCAACAGGGTTCCGGAGAAGGTTCCGGAGAAGGATCCGGAAACAGTCAGGAAGGCTTTGGTGCAGAGCCAGGTCAGGTTCAACAGGGTTTCGGAGAAAGTTCCGGAGAAGGTCTGGGAGGCTTTGGCAGGTCAGGTTCAACAGGTTCCGGAGAAGGTTCCGGAGAAGGATCCGGAAACAGTCAGGAAGGCTTTGGTGCAGAGCCAGGTCAGGTTCAACAGGGTTTCGGAGAAAGTTCCGGAGAAGGTCTGGGAGGCTTTGGCAGGTCAGGTTCAACAGGGTTCCGGAGAAGGTTCCGGGAAGGTTCCAGAGAAGATTCCGGAGAAGGTCGGGCCCGTCGGGGAGGCTTTGGGGCTGTGGTGCAGGGCCGAGGTGTTTCCAGCGCTTGGCTTCCCAGTACGCTTCAGAAAAAATTGTAAAAATAAAACGTTGCGGCTGTTGGGGATGCCGCCAAAGCTTTTTTGATATAGAAATATTTATACATAGAAACATGAAGTTCCATTTTAAGCAAGAATATTTCGTACAACAAAATTTTAGATCCTTATACAGACTGTGTTCTCATGGGCAGATCATAGAAGGAATGGCTGGAAACTTCCGCTTGTAACGGTTTGGTGCGCAAGTCCTTGCGAAGGCTGCTTGATGCGCTTGCATATCTTCAACTCAGGTGGAAACTCTTCTTCTACTACTAGTTCAAAAATAGTTGAGGTTGCATCAGGACACTATCACGAATTATGATGGAAATTCGTCTTCTTTCTCGACAAACACATGGATCCCAATGTGACTAATCTTACCCGTTTCTGCTTTTTGCACCAAGATATTTGCGGTAAAATCATTGACTAACCCTTTCCCGAAGAAGAAGATCGTTCGGTCCAATTGCAGCACACACATGCACACACATTCAGCTGATCCAAACGCCTGGACAGAAACATGCCGAAAAAGTCACTTGCTTACAACAGCTGTGCAAACAGATTGGCCTCTGTCTTCTCCTTCACCCCTGGAGTAAAGCTTTCTAGGGCAGGCCGGCCGTCGTGGGTGACGCGAAGTCATGAAACCAGCGCTGCTCTGAGAAAAGCCAACGGCAAAGGCGGAAAAAAGGGGAACTTCAACCACCGCAGATTCCATGTTCGACGACATGGCGTGCCTATACAACCTCAGCCATCTAAGACTGAGCTCACAACCATGAAAAAAGCGTCACAAGGCACAGGTTTTCGTATGAAATCACCTATGCAAAGGCTTCTAGATGCTCCTTTCAAACACAGCAGCCTTGTCCACAAGAAGAGTCTCAAATCCAAAGGGCTGTTGTTGATATAGCTGCATAAAGAACACGCAAGTTCGGTCCAGCTTGTCTTGGGAGCAAAGTGAAACCAATCTCCTGCCCTAATATGTGATCGTAATCCAATCGCCAGCAATGACTCTGCCCTTTATTGATGCTTCCTTTTTGGCTTCTGGCACATTGAACCTACAAACATCTATGAGACTAGCGTCTTGCCGAGATACCTACTTCCCCAACACGATGCAGCAGCGTAGGGTGGGATTGCAATGAAATAGTTTCTTCCAACCTCTTCAAAACAGACCCTTGAAAATTTATCTCTTCAAAACAGATCCTCGAGAATTTCAATAACTCGGGTAAGGATCCAAACACGACAAACGCACAAACCACAAGTCATCTTTGATAGCTGAGGTATGCATGAAGGGACTTAGTGGAAGTGCACGGAGCCAAAAACCAGAAAGGAAGGCAGAAGTCCAGCCGGCATTGCAGGGTCCATCAATCACGCCTTTGCTTTTTTCTTGGCAAGTTGGCACGGGTGGCTGTCAAACTATCCAACTATCATCAACTATCCAAAAATACTTTGCGTGACTATGTATAGTACAGGTGTAACTTATGGTGTGCCTTGTGGTTTAACTAAAAGGATGGATTCGGATGGATCCGCGAAATCATCAGAGGCAGAACCTCACAGCTCGAGTCTCCGAGCATCGCATCTAGTACCGCGCAGGAACGCAGCGCTGGGCATTCACAGAAGATCCAGAAGCGTTCCGGAATCTGTGGAAAAATCAACTTGGTGGATGGTTTTTTCAGCCGTTATTAAAAGATCATGACCTAGTGTAGCTTTCCGACGTGTTCTTGTATTTTTTGTATTTGTTTCTGGTTGAATTTTTGGGCTGCTCAAGCCATCCATCTAGTGACGTGCCCAATGGCATAGTTGCGGGATGTCACCCGGCGATCATTACCTGCCAGGCAGTGAAATCAATCATCCAAAAACAGCAAAGCTTGTGAAGGACAAATGTTCTTCAACAAATTACACCGGCAAGAGACCCGAAGCAATGTGGGGGGTAGGAAGCCAATGTCCAAGATACAAGCGACAGTAGCTATGGAACAGTGACGGACCATGTTTGACATTATCGTATTTGCAGCAGCAGGAGCTCGTTTTAGCAAAAGAAGCAACGCTATGTCTACGCATCAGGACCTCGTAGCGGAGGCTCATACCAGACCCTCATACCAGGACACCTAGGAGAATTCCACAAGATCGTCGCAGAAGGACCTTCTATAAAGAGGATCTCGCAAGATCTTCATACAAGAATTTCCTACGAGGATCCCAAAAGAACTTTCATACGCGCACGTCTAGTGCAGAGCATCTGCAAGATCTTAGGGATTTCAACAGAACTTCCACAAGATCTTCTTACAAGGAATTGTACAAGGATCTATACAAGATCTTCTCACAAAGACCTGTAAACGACCTTGACCACGATCTTCATGCCAGGACCTCTAAGAGATTCTCACAAGATCGTCATGCAAGGACCTGCTGTCGCTGGTGCTGCTGCTGCAGAGGAGCTTACAATTACAAAATCTTGATGCAAGAACTTTCAAGAAGAGCTTTCCATTCATACAAGCGCCCCAAAAGAGGGGGGTAGGAAGCCAATGTGTTAAATGCAAGCAGCAGTAGGGACGGAACAGAAGCAGATCAGGTTAGACACTATACTGCAGCAGCAGGAACTTGTTTTGGCACAAGAAAACGCTCTATGCGTGCTGCACGCGAGGACCATGCAAGGACCTCTTAGGGGATTTCACCAGGATCTCTACAAGATCTTCTCACAAAGACTTGTAAACGACCTTGACCGCGATCTTGATGCCAGGACCTCTAAGAAATTCTCACAAGATCGTCATGCAAGGACCTGCTGCCGCTGGTGCTGCTGCTGCAGAGGAGCTTACAATTACAAAATCTTGATGCAAGAACTTTCAAGAGCATCCTAGAAAAGCTTTCCATTCATAGAAGCGCCCCAAACGAGGGGGTAGGAAGCCAATGTGTTAAATGCAAGCAGCAGTAGGGACGGAACAGAAGCAGATCAGGTTAGACACTATACTGCAGCAGCAGGAACTTGTTTTGGCACAAGAAAACGCTCTATGCTTGCTGCGCGCGAGGACCATGCAAGGACCTCTTAGGGGATTTCACCAGGATCTCTACAAGATCTTCTCACAAAGACTTGTAAACGACCTTGACCACGATCTTTATGCCAGGACCTCTAAGAGATTCTCACAAGATCGTCAAGCAAGGACCTGCTGCCGCTGGTGCTGCTGCTGCAGAGGAGCTTACAATTACAAAATCTTGATGCAAGAACTTTCAAGAGCATCCTAGAAGAGCTTTCCAGTCATACAAGCGCCCCAAACGAGGGGGGTAGGAAGTCAACGTGTTAAATGCAAGCAGCAGTAGGGACAGAACAGAAGCAGATCAGGTTAGACACTATCGTAACTGCAGCAGCAGGAACTTGTTTTGGCACAAGAAAACACTCTATGCGTGCTGCGCGCGAGGACCATGCAAGGACCTCTTCGAGGATTTCACCCGGATCTCTACAAGATCTTCTCACAAAGACTTGTAAACGACCTTGACCACGATCTTCATGCCAGGACCTCTAAGAGATTCTCACAAGATCGTCATGCAAGGACCTGCTGTCGCTGGTGCTGCTGCTGCAGAGGAGCTTACAATTACAAAATCTTGATGCAAGAACTTTCAAGAGCATCCTAGAAGAGCTTTCCATTCATACAAGCGCCCCAAACGAGGGGGGTAGGAAGCCAATGTGTTAAATGCAAGCAGCAGTAGGGACGGAACAGAAGCAGATCAGGTTAGACACTATACTGCAGCAGCAGGAACTTGTTTTGGCTCAAGAAAACACTCTATGCGTGCTGCGCGCGAGGACCATGCAAGGACCTCTTCGAGGATTTCACCAGGACCTCTACAAGATCTTCTCACAAAGACTTGTAAACGACCTTGACCACGATCTTCATGCCAGGACCTCTAAGAGATTCTCACAAGATCGTCATGCAAGGACCTGCTGCCGCTGGTGCTGCTGCTGCAGAGGAGCTTACAATTACAAAATCTTGATGCAAGAACTTTCAAGAGCATCCTAGAAGAGCTTTCCATTCATACAAGCGCCCCAAACGAGGGGGGTAGGAAGCCAATGTGTTAAATGCAAGCAGCAGTAGGGACGGAACAGAAGCAGATCAGGTTAGACACTATACTGCAGCAGCAGGAACTTGTTTTGGCACAAGAAAACACTCTATGCGTGCTGCGCGCGAGGACCATGCAAGGACCTCTTCGAGGATTTCACCAGGATCTCTACAAGATCTTCTCACAAGGACCTGTGCAAGATCATGCACGGACCTCTTGGCGAGGATTTCGAAAGCATCTCCCCCAAAGTGCCAAGAAGGTTGCGCCGGTTTCATCGCGTTTTTGTTGAGGTCCACGAAGTGTTGCCCGAGGCCGTTTACCTTGACAACCCCGCGTCGCAGACTTTGTGCGAGACTGCGCAATCGAAATGCACATGGACATCTCACAAGGACACTTTTATGCGAGAATGTGGAAAGGCGTGCGAAACTGAGCATGATCAACAACTCGACTTTGTCAGAAACCAAACCACTCGTAATTCTACATGGGGGTCCCCAAAGTGATGGAAAAGAGTGGACTTTCTGGGGGTGCCAACTTGCGGACATATCGCAAAATTGGCCAAACTTTGCCAAATATCTCATCATCTTGGTTGGTTCTATCCATTTTTAATGGACTTTAGATAATTGTTAGGCATATGTGGAATATCCCTAATTTTTCGGTTCAATCCTGTCATTTCTTGGTACCCCAGGCCGTGCTCCCAGCCTTAGAACTTGGCCACTTGCAGGTCCAAGTTGATCTGTCGCTGCGCTCTCAACCGTTTACCATATGTTGTTTTCATGCTTGTGCCCACTTACTTTGGATGGTTGCACCAAGTTCAACTTGGAATTCAATGCTGACTGTTTGAGTTCCAAGATGTTGTTTGCAGGGGTATACCTCAAAAAGGAAGGTTTTCGACCAACTCCAAGTTGATTAAGCCAGTAAAGCAGCATAGAGCATCAACTAATTCTTCTCAGCCAAAAAAGCACCATTTGGGAAGAAAGCAGGGTGCGGTTCCCAACCTCTGCGTCCGAGTCCTCTTCATTGGCCTCGTAGCAACTGGATCAAAACCCTCAAGCCCTACATTCTGAAGAGTAATTCGAATTCATGACATTCATCCAGTGCCTCAGCAGCTGGAGGCAGGGAGCTCAAGGCAGTCTGCAACCTGTCGAAGAGCCATGGAACGACTCCAATTCGGAGAATTTCCTTGTGATATTCCGATATATATTCCGATGATATCCCATTGGCCCATGATTGATAGGCGCTTTAGGATCGAGTTGAATGTGCGCTATTGGCTCATCATGAAATCAAGCGCTGGAATAAGTTCAGGGGACCAACCCCATCCTTGGGGCTTTGATCAACTGTTAATTTCGAGACCAGTGATGATCGCCTCTCATCGGTGGCTTTTGCTCTCCTGAATTCTTGCCACTACAAGATTGTCAGACCCACTCAACAAAGGGTTCTCGGAGTCTCATTTGGTTGGAGGTGACAAGCCATCATAGTTTTTGCCAAACAAATGCATCAAGCCCATTTTATAAGTGAAGTATCCACTTTCATTCTCATGGATATGCTCAAGTGCCCCTGAGGCCCTGCAAAAAAATATGGGATTCCTCAGTCACGCTGTACCAATGGAAAACTCAACATTCACCATCCTGAGCCAACCGGGGGTCTTGTTCTGTCCCCAAAACTGCCATTTTGGGATCCCACCAGGTCAGGACGCCTTCCCCCAGCGCGCCTCTGTTCTTGTGGCACAGAAGAGCTACTACTGGTCTCTCTGGGGGTATCGGCCACCTGGTTACGGTGTAAGGTGAGCCGCATGGGGATGGATGTTCTCATCACTCATTGGTATTTCATGGGTGCCATGGGTCCAGCCATATCCAGCCCCATATCACATAGCGGACATAGCGCCAAGCCACAGTCTGTGACGTGTCCTCGTTGCTCCCAGAGGCCTCCTTGGTTGTGAAGCCGTTGAACTAGGGCAACCGCGCGTTTTGGGCCATGGGACAATGATAACATGGATATCACACTACGTCCCATAAACATACCATCAACTGTCTCCATATTCTGAATATCTGGATATTGCATAAAGATATCCCATGTCACGAATTGGCTGTTCCCAACATCCAGGGCAGACGATCACTGGGGAACCACACTTCTATCGACTTTTTGTCCCCCAGGTATGCTTCCACCAACTGCAGGCGACCAAGCCAGATGGGAAGCCGCCAAAGATGGATTTCGGATAGGAAAAAACAAGATCATCATTTCTGATTTTTTAAAGAACTTTGCTGCCGCCAGGAAAGTTTCTGATCGAAAACACAGATGTGATGTCAATCCAACCGGGCCTCATCAATGTCAGTCCCTTCTCCTTCTGCTTCTTTGGTGCCGAGGTATGCAGTCTGGACTTCATTTTCTTTCTCAACCTCCTCCTCCTCCTCCTCAGCATTTTTCTCACATCACCGTGGGTAAAGTTTGACGTGCCTCCAGTCGGTTTACATGAAACGTCACCCTTTTGGGAGATTGAAAGCACTATTCAACGAATGAAAAGGGATGTTTTGAAGCCCCAACAGCAGAAGCTGTTTGAGGTCTTGGTTGGAAAATGCCAGTCAACTGAGGCTTTCACGAAGGTTTCCATCTTCGGATCCGGCCTGAGCTAGGCTTGTTCCGACCTTTCACATCACGACGCACTATGGTTCACCCAAGAATATCATAATCATAGATTTCACATGATTTCACTTACCATTTATTTGAGCTGATTCTATTGGACCATAGCATGCCCCATTTTTTTTGATTGGCTTCAACACACTCCTTTGAACCCCCTTCAAGTTCTTGCCACGGGCTTCCTGACGCCTTCTGCCCCCCGGGGCTGCGAGGTGCATCCACAAACACCTGGCTTGGGATGCAACAAGGCGGTGCCCCTGTGTTCGCGATCCATCGCCAAGCTGATGCAAAAGCTTCCGTTTCACTTGGGTTTATGGTAGAGATATGGGACTGTTCATGGGAATTATAAAGCAACATATATCTGGGTGCACGATGATCTAATATGTCTGTGGACGTGCCTCTGGCGGTGGGGGGCCTGGCTGGTCCTCGCAGCTCACAGGTGAAAACTGTTGTGTGTCTCATCTCCATATCTCTCTCAGGATGATAGGATCCGCTTGACCAGCCATCAGACAAGACTGGTTTGTGATCTCACAACATCCAGGGTTTTGGGTCCCAGCATTTCTACATGACATTGATGGACAGTATACAAATCTTTGCTTTCGAAATATCCTCACAAATTGTCGGTGATGTCTGAAGGCTCAGTGGCAACTCACCTTAAAGCCCACATCATGCGCTTGGCAGTCACAAAGAGAGTCTCCCACTATCAGAGTTGGCGATCTCAAATCATCAACATTTTCCATTGGCAAATCCTAAATCAATATTCCCAGTTCCACACCATTTATTGGTCAATATCTTTCTATGCTGCTGCCGGTCCCACGTGAACATCTCGGGACTCAGATCGTGATCCTGGAGAGGCGGCCCCCAAGTCGGTGGATCATTCATGAGTGGTACCCAATGGTACCCATGTGAAAAAAAGGATCCAAATGGTTTAGGATCTTAGGATCTTGAGATATCTTGGGGTGGCAGTCAAATGGTTGGTACTTGGCCTATAACCATTACATTCATTCGATATATCCAATTCTGACTGTTCTGGTTATCAGCTGCCAATTACATCCAATTACCACCCGACGCCTCTGGAAGGCTGGCCACTTGATTGCTCCTCAGCCCATCAACCATGGCGATCTCGAAAAAAAATCAAAAAACCCAACAATTTTTCAACTGCAATATCTGTTTCCATCTGTAATCTTATCACCAACCATTTTGCCAGGAGGCTCGTTCTCGGTGAAGAAGGACTGGCGCGAAAGAATGCCACGCTTGGACAATTGAAGATCTTAAAATTTGAGAGTTCCTCTTGAGAGATGCCCGACCATCACCTTCCTCCACCAAAGCACCATGGTCCCCACGTTTCTTAGAGGCCCTCATGGACATGTCCCAAATGTTCCATTTATCACCCAAAAATTGCCGAAATGACTAGTGCAGCCATCTATTTAAAGAGTCTCAAACAAGCAAAATGGGACATGAATCCCCCATAGATGAAACCCGAATGGAAAACTCCAGCTTGGCGCAGACCTCTTGCTTCTTCTTTCGCATATGCTTAGTGACCTGGCAGCATTTCACCGGTGAACATCGGCGGCAGCATCCCTTCCCAGGAATCAATCGTGTCTTGATATGTCTTGTCCCAAGTCCCAAGTCCCAAGTCCATCCTGGTTATGCTACCATTCTGGGTCCCAAGCGATGGGCTCAAACGGTTTAATTTAAGCCACTGCCATTTGAAGTCCCATCTTTGGCGGCAAAATCGTTATATTTTTGGGTCAACAACTGTCATTGGTCAACGCCAGCCTTCCAGGCACAGCAAAGTCCAGCCTGAGCACAGGGATCTTGAGGTTAAGTGCTTTTTTACAGGCCACGATGTTATTATAAACAAGCAGAATGCGTACGAAGATGGAAACCAGATTCATGATTCTCCCAAATAGGGATTCAGAGCATAATGGTCATTCTGATCCACTGTTGTGGGGTAGTGAATCAGCAGAATCAACAGTACCATCCTGCTCTTCATGAACCAACACATCTCCGAAAGACAACCCCAAGATTGCACAAGGATAATCCAGGATAGTCATCTTCCCCATTTTCTAAGTTTCCAGTCGTCATTTTTTTTCGGAAGTAGATTTTTCAAATAAGTTAAGTTTTGGGCTTATACATGGGTGACATCCATTTTGCCTTGCTTCCATCCCCAAATTCATCTAGCGGCATGGTGCTGGCCTGGAATATTTCCAGGCAAAGCTCCGGACAGAACGCTCCACCCACGAAAAGCATTTGTCAACTTTCTGCAAAGTCCTAATGATGGCTAGCCATCTATTTGTTTATGCCTCCAATTCTTTGGTTAGTTGTCAATCTTTGTCTGGTATCATCTAGATCGTAACTATCCCAAAGGGGAAACCATGTAAAAACCGACAACCGCAACATATTTCCTTGGTTTATAAACAAATAAAATTAAACTCAGTGTTGGTTCTATGCCATCTTCATTTTTGACAAGTTTACCATCGCTACTCAATGATTTTGAGACTGCGCTCAGGATTGTTGGCTATGCTTATGGTAAGCCCAAAAATATTTTTGGGTGTCCCATGATCATCGACAGCTATCCCCAATAGTTTCTGAGTAAACCCACCAGCTGATAAACCCCATCTTATCTTTGAGAAGCCTTCTACATTCTCTGGCTAAACATCCCATCATCCCATCACTTATGGGTCAAAACTTAATCACAACTTTACAGGAGATGACCTTCATGACATATGATGAACATTTACATTCATAGCATTAACATGCTCAAATGAACTTGATGAACATCATTGGACATCTATATCCAACATTTACGTCCAAAGCTACCCTTTGGTAAACTAACATGCTTATGGAAAATCACCATGCTTAATAGGAAAGTCAACCATCTCAATGGCCGTCTACAATAACTATGTAACAAAAATCCAGAGGGTAATCCATATCAATCCCATTATCTTTTCTTCCCCTGTCTATTTTTGTGCCTTGCAGGCCCATGTGGTAACCTCACATCTAATTTGAACATGCGCGTCCACTCGCAGCACCAAGAGGTTGAGTAATCACGATGGAATTTGACATAGTGACTAATCGGGAACCCATCTGGCTCGGGGCCGTGCACATCCTTTCAAAAGATTGTGGATATTCATGGATATTGACCACCATTAATCTGGGTAAATGAAATAATATTTCACTAACCTGAATCTTGCGGCCATTTGGGGAATATTTCCCGAATCCTAACCATGATTTCCAGGGCTCGGGAGAACAGGGTTCGGTCGTGATGAAATTTACCCACCACTAATGGATGTTAGGATATTCATGGATATTAACCACCATTAATGGATGTTACCGATGTTACCTCAGCCATTTTTCCATGTGAACCCCCCGGGTTTCCCCATTGGATGCCCGCACCATGAAGGCTCCGATGCAGCCCGCAATCAACGCCACCAGCAGCGCAGTGGTGTCGTCATTGGTCAAGGCATCTACCTAAGAACACCCAAAGGTTACACCGATCGTCCCCTTTTGTGAAGGGTTGAGAAATATCACCAAAAAACAACAATTAATAAATACATATGTATGTGTTTTTGTATATATATATATTATACATAAAAACATGTGTTTCATTGGGGACACTTTGACATGAAACTCAAACTTGGCAGGTATGCAGATTTAGGAAACTCATCCAAAATGCCTTGTGTGGTGTTCAATTCTCAAGGGCATAGAAGGAATACAAAACATCAGCAAGCATAGAGAAATGACCCACACAAAGTATACGAAGCGCACGTGATCTACTAAGAATTCGAGATGCGACCCTCTAAGAGGAGAAGCCACGAGCAGAACAGGGGATGTAACTTGACAAAAGATCAAACGAACAAATGTGGGGATCAAAACAACGAACATCCCCCAATTCGCGCACAAGATCTTGCACTCCTGATCAACCACGAGAACATGTCTAGACAGTTTTGAGAGCCAGTGGGAAGGAGCCATCTACAAGTTGGAAGAAACTCATCAATGATCTATCCCCAAGTTGCAGCATATCTGATATATCTGTTGAATGAAACATAACCATTCCAAGTAATGCCTGATTTTTTTGTAGCTGTGCATACCTGCACGACCCTGCCTGTCCAGTGGCTGTAACGTTGGTATCCTGCGTGGCCCAGCTGGCGGTTGCACTTGGCGAAGCTTATCGAATGACATGCTCCGAATAGAGCTGGACATGTATTTTGTGCAGTTTTTCTGCATCTTTAATGGGATTTAACGCTTGTAGTGATTGTGAGATTTATTTACAAACATAATGTAACATCATCTATTCTTTCATGCTTCAGCCGGATGTGTAACAATGCCTGCAGGGCCAGAAAACTCTGGTTATCTCTTGTTTTTGTCATATCAAACTTATCAAAGCAATTCAAAGCATGCAATTTTGAAGCACCGCTTCCATTCCCTGCCTCAACTGCCACGTAGTTCACTGCAACCCGCGGTGTCTGGTGCGTTGGGCCATTGGGCCCACTGAATGAGAACAGGTCAGCCGGGTGCCCTGGTGAACATGAACCAAAAAACGAATAGAATGGTCTATGTTGGAATATGTTGGAATATGTTGGAATGTTCAGCAACAACATTGGGTTGGGATTATTTGCTACTGACCAACATTTCATTGTTTTTTTGGTGCTGTATATCTAACACACAGCATCTTGTGCAAAAATCCAGGATGGGATCGATGGGTCCGTGACCTGTCCTATTGATTCCCCTTGGAAAAAAATGAGGCGATCTCATTCGCGACCTTGCAAAATCTGAGAATCTGAAACTGATAATGACCCATTAGCCTTGATCTCCAGATGCGCATTGAGCAACATGAAAAAAACTGATTGGACCCACTGATTTCAGTCTTTCCTGACATCACCCATCCCATTTTTATACCCCGGCTTATGATCCATCTCCACTGTTGGATATATCAGCTAGTTCTTGACCAACCTTTTTCTCAACCCTTTAATGGTTGCAAATACCAACTTTCACTTAAGACTCACCCCATCTTCCCAGCTGTTTCTCTGCATTTCTCGGAACAAAGTACAATCATTCCCATACTTCCTCAACCGCAATCAGCGGGTGTGGATGATTCCCATACATAAACCAACATCTATGTGGCTTTGGCTTGCGAGTATTATTTACCCCATAAGATCCCTTTCTTGTGGCCAGTGAAATTCATGAACTCTGCATATATGAGTTCGCCCATCAGATTGGAAACTCTTCGCGATTTTTTAGTGGGGACATCCCACCATCCCCTCAACTGACATAAATGACATAGCCACAGCTGCGCCTCAGTGTGCTTCACCTGAATCCCGGTGTCCTGCACAGCCTGGCAGGTGACCAACTTTCGATCCGAGGATCAATGTGAAACAGACCAAATGCTCAGAAATTTCAGAATTTCCCAGGGATTTTTCAGAAAACATCCCATTTCCTCCGTTAGAAAAAAAACATCTGATTTCCTCCAGAATTGACATTTTCCATCCCAAAGTCTGTTTAAAACTGTCTCGACCCAGGACCTGCGCAGCTTCCTGCAAGAGTGAAGTGGAAGGATCTTCCGCAGCAGCTGCCTGGCGAAATGGTGGGTCTGAGTTGTTTGGGTAAGGTTCATCCAGTTGAAGGTGTCATGATCAACAAGGTTATGAGCTCTATGATATTGTTCATCTCTATGACACCTATGTTTTTTTGAGATATTCTTGGACTATGGCGAAAAACATTAATGTGGTTTTTATGCCTACTATCCCTTTGGCAACGGTGGAGGATTTACCAATTTAGCTGGGCTGTGGCAAGCCAGCGTTTTTGTTAAGATTTTCCCGGTGTACATTTTGGCATTGGTAATCTCCAAGTCTTGTGAAACAAGACATGAGCGGTGTATCTGAAAACCATAGGAACTAGGAAAAATCACCAACTCATAATGGTTGGTTTTCATGCACTATGATCCTCCCCAATGCATTAGGCCATCATTAGGTAGAACCCCTATGGTCATCAACCAACTGCTTTTAGAATGATCACATCTGCAATCTTCTCCTGGCAACCTGCCTTTTTTATGATCAACACCATTTTGTGAACCCCCACATGTTGAAGGTTCATAAAAAACTATGGGTCTTGTTCGGTAAATATCTCGTGGCTTTACCATATCTTCACTCTTTCTTCATTTTTCATTTTCCACCATGTACCCTTTAGTGACTAGTGATGTGGGTCAACACCCAATGCCACCACGTTTTAACGTTTAGTGATGGCGGCACCTGCAGGTTGGCACCCAGGGTGGTGGCAAAGATCTGTTGCCTGGGACTCGATGGCTAGACAACTGGGATCTCATCAAAAAAAACTCAAAACACATCACCTTTCCCAAATATGGGCAAGTTCATGATGTTTTTCCAGTTTTTAATCATTTTTGGGTGAATCATTGTGAATGATTGGATTAAGATTGGCAATCCCAGGACAGGGATGACCAAACTTCCTTGTTGGAAACCTGTTTTGACCCAACGTGAACAATGAACCCCGGGGGCCGCGGCATGGCGTATGCTCAGAACAAAAATCAAGCAAGACCGGGGATAGAAACTAGACATTGATAGATCAGCAGTCAGCATATTCAACCAGCAGGGTGTAAGCTTAACCGCCAACAAAAAATGCGAATCGCTGAGATTTCCAGACTCAGAGGAGCTGGAATCTCCCAAACTTTGGATCTTGCTCGCGAAGCCTCAGGCAGTGGCTAGTACCGGTTATAAAGGTAATGATGTGTCAACCATTTTGGGCTGGACTTAGGATTCAAGAAAATCATGATGTCACTAAACAACATTGTCTTGAGTTCTAAATTCAGTGCATATTTTCAGATGGCCGTGATGATGAGCCGTTCTGTTGCGCAAAGGCTGAAGAGCCTGTCCAAAATACATTGTGCAAGCACGATTTTGGAAGAACTTCCATCGGCAGGCACATATTCCATGAAAAAAACATCACAATTACCATTCCAAACATGATTTTCCATGATTTTCACATGGAAATTTCCACTTTCCCATATTTTCCTATTTTTTCATTCAATGTGGGATTTTCGACAGCCGGGGCTGGCCGCCTGCAGCCACATCATCCTGGAGATGGTGAGGCTGTGAGGCTTAACTTGCTAAACTCTTGGGTTTGGGAGAGCATGATACAACGAATGTTGGTTGCTTTATAAACCAACATTCAGAACATTCACATTAAAAAATGGGAGCCTCAGCTTGTATCTAGAATGAATGATGAATTCACATTTAAACTTTGATTTATGATTCATATGATCTATGATGAATTCTGATGAATTTTGATGTGGGGTGCAAACATGGTCCCAGCGATCATCCCCTGCCGGCGAAGCAAAAGTCCTATCAGACATGACCTTCGTGGACCTTCCATACGAAAACCCACAGAAACAGGGTCGTTTTTCAGCTGTCCGCCGCCACGTGGCCACGCCCTGTCCTCGTCGCTGTTGGTTCGCAACTGAAAATTCACATTCACCTCGAAGCTGCCCTGAGCGATGTCAAACTTGAGAAATTGGAAAAACGAGGGATGATAACTTGAATTTGAACTCACATGTAGCAAAAATTGGAGAATTGATGACTGGAAAAGAAACCAACAAATTGGATAAACTGTAATGTTGAAAAACCCTTCTGTTCACCTCAAAACAAGCTGGGATGTATGTTTATTCCAATGGTAGTTCCTACATTTCCTATGGCATTTCATAGCTTTTAAGCCATATTTTTACCCACAGATCTACACAGCATGAAACTGAATCACTTGAGGTGCCCCGCGGCTAAACGGCGGTCGCTCAAACGTCGACCGTCCTCGGTGGCTGATGTGTCAGCTGGGTCGAACAAGGGACAACATCTCTCTCTATGTTAATATCAAACATTGTAGATGGGAAGTCCCGCAGCGTGAAGCTCCTGCTTGTGGATATGGGAAGTCTGAGGTATCTGCAGCTTTAATACATGATATACATGAATATACATGAATATAATGATACATCAGCAGGTGGCAACGCATTTCTCGCCACGTGAACCCGTGCGACGGTGACATGAGTTCAGGATCACGGGCCACTCTAATTGCAATCCCCGGATGACGATTCCTGGTCCGAGTTCTTCCCACTTGTGACTAGAGGCAAGGCCTTTTGTGGCTTTCAAATTCCAACGAATGCCCTCCTTTCAATCCCTTTGTTCTCTTTCTTGTACCTTCGTGTAGAATCTATGCAACTCCTTTGGCTGCTACCTAAGGAATATAACAAAAAAAGTCCTTCCATTCCTCGAAGCGAACAAATATACAATGACAAATCACTGGAATTCCCACATGTTGAACATTGTTGAACATCCCGTGAGATTTCGCCGTGGTACTGCTGCGACAGACTCCAGGACTTGGATAAAGAGGATGATCACATCCTGCGCCGATGCGGTGGGATGATCTGGGATGATCTGGGATGATCTGGGATGACCGGCTTGAAACATCTTGAAACCGGACTCCAGGCCCCAAAATGTCAGGCCAAGTTGCCATCCGTCTCCACTTCGATAGGATTGCGGCAAAGACACTCTTCCAAACGTGCTGAAGCATCCTCTCTTTTTGCGACAGAAGCACTTCGAAGTCAATGGGAAAATTCAATCTCTTCCAAAGCTTCTAGGTTCGGCAGTTGGTCAAGGATGCTTTCGTCCTACCATTCTTTGTTGGGGCGATGTTTCAGCTCTTTGCTCCCGGGCCATTTGGTATCGAAGCTCCGGACATACGAACAAACAAATGGAAAAACATGCGCCAGGTACCCCAGACTCAAACATATAGTTGGTTGGGTTTATATTTCTCTATCTACAGAGAAAGAATGACCCATTGTAACCCAACATTAACTAGGTTCATCCAGTCAATATCCAACATTTGTTGGTGAATATATATATATGTTCTTTTTTAAGGGTTTCATACCCATTCACAGCCACTGATACACAACCAGGCTTTTCAAACATATTTACCCATTGTTGCCGGTAATTCAACCGACGTTTCCTGGCCGAACAAATCCTGGTAATATGGGCTCCGTTGAAATCCACCAGTCTTTAGCCAGAATCCATGGGTTTTGTATCTATATTACAAACACAAAACCATGAATGATTAACCCATTTAGCACTGGTTTCAAATGATTTTTATGGGAAAAATACTATCTTACTATCCTTTCAGTGGGGATCACCACAATCTATGAGGGGAATCTCGACCCAATGACTTGGAGACTTGCCCATGTTGGCTTTTAACATCTTTTAACATCTTGCGACTTGGATATGACAAGAAGGAACTGGGGATATGCTCGGTGAGAAATGGTTCACAGTCCAATGCTAGGTCGGTTTGCAACCATTCATAATCCGAGAGTAACAATTTCAAAAATATCAAAAAATACGGTCTCACAGATTTTATGCTCGTAAAGATCAATCACGTCTCCGTTCTTGTTGAAGAACCCTGAATTTGGATGGTTGAGTATGGGCCTTAATACAAAGAACAACCACCTAATGGGTTTTGAATCGGATATCCAATAGTTTTTGCCCGACTATATTCAGGTTTACTGATGACATATTGTTGGGAAAAAACATTTTTTCCGATGATCTATACCAGTTCAAATCAGTTAAACCTCCATTCTTGTCGATAACACCTCCATTTTTGATGGCTGAATATGGGACGTTCACCAACAATATGTGTAAACTCTAGAACCTCTGAAAAAATCCGCTATGGATTCTTGGGATTTTACAACCACAACCGATTTTTTACCACCAAAATGGCATGGATGGCTAATCAAGATCGATTTTGGATACTTAAATTAGATATTGTTGGTGAATATCTTATAAAATCGATTATCCAGCAATGGATATTGTCGGATAATTCTTGTTGGTAGCCACTATCAGCGGATCATGAATATTTTGAGATTTCTCAAATGGACGGATAAGTAGCTCCTAACGGTAACGACTAGATAGTCTAACTATTCGACTCAGCGAAACATGTTCCGCGATGATGATTCCCCAAAAAAAGATATTCATCATTCCAGTGACGTCGCGACGTGAGGTAGCAACAAAAGTCCCAAATATTTTACAGATTATATTCCCATTGATAGTCCATTCTCATCCCACTATACCCAGTTATATCCGCATGATATATCTAATTAAATCACCATTTTGCAGGTTATAGCGTTATAGCCCCATTATTTCCCCATAAAATGCTTCGCTTTATACCTCCATTTTGCTAGTTGTCCCATTTGATCCTGTGGTAAGCATCCACTACCCAAATGATGGCTGGGACATTCCCATTTTTGGCTCATCTCCATTCTGTGGGTTAAAGCCAAGTTTGCTGCCATGAATCGATTCCCTAGCGGATTTCCCGAAAAATGGACATTTCATCTTTAGCACAAGCACATCACGGTTTTTGATGGAGTTAAATCCACATTTTTCTGAAACGACCATGGATGGTGAGCCATTTTCGATCCCACTCCCACCTCCTCATTGGCCACGCCCAAGCTAGCAGCCAGGGTGGCTGCATAGGCACGCTTGGTGCTAGGCGACTCCATGGCTGCCTTGAAACCGTGGGAATAATGGGGATTCAACTGGGAGAACTGGGGCTTTAAGGATGGAATTCTGGTTGCTACGAAGCGCAACATGGGAGTGCTGGCTAGGTGAAAATATATTCCCTCAATGAGATAAAAGAGTAGTATGAAAGCTGCCCATTGAAGGTTGACCCAGAGAAGTTCAAGGGGGGCCAGTACTTGGCCAACTCATTTCCGCCAGTTACCTGTCAGGAACCCACATTGAATGGTACAAAAAGTGGCGGTGCAACCAACACCAACAAATACGTGCAGAAAACATCAAAAATAGAGTTTCAATGCCTTATTGCCATTAAATATGGATGTTTCACCAGCCTGGAATGCTGAAACTGAGAATTTAATTGACTTCCATTGCTATTGGTTGTAATTAATCCTCCTGATCATCATGGTTGGTGAACTTTTTTTCAAATGAAACATGATAGAAACAGCCAGGATAAAAATCGTAAACCATGAGTCTTCCATTTTTCGATGTTTGTTCCCCAACTGGATCCAACATATTGGGAATAACCAACAAGAATGGCTTACAAAATCCATACGTTCATCCATGTTCATCCGTTTTCCAAGGAAAAATGAAGCAACTCGAAAAGCATTCCATTGAATATCGAATTATGCGCTATCCGAGTCAATGGATCCAATCAATTTTTGGAATGGTAGCCATGCTAATATTGCTTCTAAAATCAGAAAATCCACACAAAAAATCCCGAATTTCCATCCATCCTAGAAATAAAAACATGAACAACTCCCATGCTCCAAAAGAAGAACCATCTCAAGTTCTCCAAAATCTAAAAATTCCATTCAATTTTCACCATTTTTCCCAAGGTTCCATCCAATTTTCACCGTTTTTTTGCACATTTTTTCCACTTTTTCACGACCAAAACCATGGAACCCGGGGGATCCCAGCCCACGACATCGACATCCGGCCACGCCTGCAGCTCCGCCTGTGTGGCCCCTTGGATGGTGGGCAGCGCAAAGGCCACCGCAGATTCGACCACCTGAACTGCCTGAGGGATTTTGTGGATAAAAATTTTGTATCCCATCAATAGTTACTATAGTTATAGCTATCCCATAACTATAGTTATATAAGTTATATACTGTAAGTAGTTACTCATGGTATCAGAATTAGGTTGATGATATCCACTATAGTTATATAGTATCTATAGTATCCCACCTATATCTAATGGGGGATGAATCTGATTAATCTGAATGTGATTTCATATTACTAGTTATCACTGATATGATAAATGCTATTTTTTAAAACAATCATATTATGAAAATCCATTAGCAATCCATCAGTCCATTGGGTATCTATAATGATTTATAGTGATTAATCCATGAGAAATGGGAGATAATTATGATTATTATTAGTGGGTATTGATTTTTCATGATTTTTTTTGATGAATCAACTGGGTATTCACTAATGATTAATCCATTAGTAATGGTATTGAATCCATTTGGCTTATCATGATCATGATAAACGGGGGATTTATCAATATCAATGGAATTCAATGGAAATATGATTGATATCATGAAAATTTAGCAACCATAGTTGTGACCCAGGTTACATATGGGACAACCCCACGATTTATGGGGACTTACTAGCTGATTAGCCACTAAGTGGATCCTCCAAGTCTGATTTGTGATGGAGAATGGATTCGATTCCCAGTAGGTTCTATTATCAGGAACCCTGCACAAAAATTGAGCTAACGTCAAAAAATCCCATACCAAGAGACTATTTTGGATTAGTTAAACTACCCATCTTTCAGATTGATACTGTTAGTGAACGGCATGGATCAACTCCCATCCGCACCTGCTGAACCTGTCCCTCCTGTACCACGGGGCTGCAACCGCTGACGTCTGTCAGCAGCACCGCCGCTTCACAGCGGATGCCTAGGATCGCGACTCACACTGGAAATTCCACTATAAAATGAAAGTTTTAATGGGAAATTCAACCATCTTGGATGGATTTTACCACCAAAAACGGAGAATATATAATCTATTAGTGGGGATACAATGGATACATAATATATAATTATATATATATATACATTATGGGATTTAGCCATCAACAATAGGGATTTCATGGGATTTCAAGCAAGCTGGTGCCTCAGTTCGGAATCGCTAAGTTGGTGCGTAAATACCTCCAATAACTGTTGGGGTTCTTGGATTTCAAGCACCTCACATAACCGGGTCCCAGCCTGTATTGTGGTAGCCCAACATGGGGATATAAAAATTGTGACATTCATGACATATTTACCCTCTGGTAATTTAACATAGCTATTGAAAATGGCTATTTATAGTGGATTTGCCCATTAAAAATGGTGATTTTCCATAGTTATGTAAACGTTTACCAGAGGGTATGGGCTATGATTCATAGTGGTCAAGTGCGGTGGTCAAGTTACCAAGTGGGTCATCCTGGCGCATGATGGGACAGCGATTTCACCAAGTTTTCACCGCCCATTTTTTGGGATGGGTCAAAATGAATGGTCCCCTTGGGGACAGCAGATTCTTGGTCATAATATAAATGTCATATATAGGATAACTTTGATCCATGTGTATTTAGATGGGAACAGTGAGGAATGTTCATCCTTCCAGTTATACTAGGGTCCATTTTCTCCGCCTGAAAGTGAGAAAAACTTGATGTTCCATATTTAGATTTGCTTGAGAGGCCTTCAAACTGAAACATATTTCCAATAGATTCTCAAACAACAAAAAAAATCAATAGGCAAATCACTCAAAGTTAGCTCAACATCAATGGGCTATGAATCAAAACCCTGGTACCCGGATGGTACCCTAAATCATAGCTGCTAATATATGCTTATTCCCTGAGTCATATGGTAACTTCATAGGTAACCTGACGCATCCAGTCAGAATTCTCTCATCTCAGGCTGCCCGGCTGATATTTCCTGCGAAGCCAACATCGAAGCTGGCGCAGTCCATTTTGGTGCTGGCATAACCTGCGGCGACGGTCCTGATGATGGGATGATGATCCGTTGGTGGCTGCGCCGTGGTTCTGAAAAAAACTGCAAAGATGAGGATGGTTTGATTCAGGTAGATATTATCATGAATTCTCTAGAGTCTAGATGTGGCTCTAGATTAGTACATGAATTCGGACATAAACATTTCACTGACAGGTGTCCCATCTTCTGGTAGGTGCTCGAAAATCCTTCAGTTCTATCCGTATCGAAATTGGAGGACCCATAATTTCGATTTACCCACGCTTTTTCAAAAGACAGCGTATTACATGATGCACATTTGTACATGTATATATCTATATAAATGCATACAGTATACAGTATACAGTATACCGTATACAGTATACGTATACATATACAAATACATACACCATACATGATATATATATATATATATATATACAGTGTATATACAGCTATATAAAATTACATAAATTTGACATAAATGGGCACTTATCACTCATCCAGTCCCAAGGCACTTTCCAGCTGCTGAGGGATGGTGGTCTGCGCCACAGTGCTGCCAACCACCACGGTGACGCCTTGACCTACCCAAAGCTCAACATCTTGGAAAACCCCTTGGGGAAACCCTGGTTATCCTAGGGTAAACATATAAAAAGATGTGGAAAACCCATGAAACCCTGGGGAAACTGATATCTAATGGTGGGTAAACTCCACATCTATGTTGGTTTACCGGTAACTTAGCATGAAAGAAAGTCCATGGCAAATAGCTTCTACTGGAACTCTGAAACTCATCTATGTCCAATCCCTGAACAATACAACACAAGATGTTGGAAAGACTGGCAATCACAGCGCAAAACATGGGGCTTTTGTTCAAACAATTACGATCCCTTCTGCACAAGTTGAAATCATAAGACACACGTCAAATCTCTGTCACCAATCTCCATCATGTCGAAAATAAAGAAGACTGCCCAAATAGCAATCAAACCCCATAGAGTGCCACAAAAAAACGTCACACATGCGTCACACACATGGCCATCCCCGCTTTTGGAGGGTTTCCTTATCTCATTGTACCTTCACAACGTAAACAGACTTTTCCCTTTCAGCTAGGGTGGCCCTGGTGCTCAAGCATGGCTTGCTCGAAAATCCACCATCTAAAGATGTTTTTTTCCATTTGAACAGCATCAAAAACCTGGAGGCGAACTGGTTCTACTGGTTTGTTTCATAGCCGTTCCAATCATGGATCGCAAGGATCCCTTTTCAATAGCTTAGCAGTACCCCAAGATTTCTTACCCTCTGGTAATTTAACAGTTTGCAATTGAAAATGACCATTTATAGTGGATCTTCCCATTGAAAATGGTGGATCTTTCCATAGCTTTTTGTATGTTTACCAGAGGGTATTTTTCCTTTCCAATGGCTTTTGGACACTGCTTGGATGACACCCTCTTCCGATCCCCCAACGGTGACCCTGTGCGCAGGAGGCAGGCGAACAGCCTGGAGGGTGAATCCGTTCCAATATAATGGATAAATGGGGATAGAATGGGGATATACATGGAATTTCACCAAGAATAGGGATTTGATGGGATTTCAATCAAGCTGGTGCCTCTTAATAAGCAAACAAACTTAGATATCCCGCAACCAACGCTTTTTTTTCTCATCGTGGTTGGAAAAACATCACCAGTTTTTATGGCAAAAATATCGGGATTTCCCAGTTCATGGATTGTGGCTGCACCCCAATTTTTTGGTTTTTGGATAGCCTCCCAATCTTTCAAGCATTCATCAATGATATTCACATTTCTGTCCCCGCATTTTGATAGTTTTTTCCACCCTATGCAATGATCAACCAACAGGGCTCGCACCGCTGCTGTCGGGAAGAAGCGTGGTGAAGTTGCATCTGGTCAAGTTGCATCGTGGGAATTTCATGAACGCGCAGGATTTACTACAAGGTGGTGCTTCCGTTTGATAGCTAAGTTGGCTTATAACTTCAATAACTGTGGTTTATGATACTTATAACTATAGTTGATGGGGTTTATAAACCAATTTATAACTGGGGGGACTATGAACATGTAAGGGTGTCCTGAAATGGGGATATCCCATAAATAGATGGCTTATTTCATGGAAAATCCATCTATAAAATGGATGAGAACTGGGTGTACCTGTAGTTTAGGAAACCACCATGTTGATGTAACCTGTAAGCAGCAAAACAGATTATGGAATTGCAAGAACATTCTTAATTGAAGCCACGAACAAAAATGTTGCGTTTTATATATCAGAAACGGGAGCTTTGCCCAAACAAAAGAAGTTGGAATGCTTTTTGGAAACAAGAATGAGATTGGACCAGCAAAAGAATGGGAGGTCTAAGCACAAAAAACAATAAAGCCATAACCCACTTATTGGGCATAAATGGATTCCCTACAACCCTGCTGATCAACACCTCCCACAAACTCGAGTGGAATCAGTTGGATCCTGTTCTCATTTTGGTTGGCTTTGTAGTTGGTTATTACAATGGTTGGATTTATACACCCGCTACTATCCCATTAATATCTCACTATCCTCCCATTAATATCACCATTTTGCTTCTATCTACCATATAAATCATCCAAACATGGACATTTTTCTTGGTCTTATCCCATTGTAATTATCCCCATTCATATCCCATTGTAGTAACTATCCCATTGTAGTAACCACCAAAAAGACACAGGTAATCTATGACTATTTTAATCGAATTTTACTTTTCTATCTTTTTGGGGATTACTATAACTTGGATTTGCGTAGGGAACCACCAAAATATAAACATATTCCTTATAGATTCCCCTAGTTAAGTGGGTTGTCCAGTGGGAAAATAAGAATCATCCTGGTTAGTAAGTTCCCTAGCTTGGGTACCATATAGAAGTGGGTTCTGATCCTAGTTACGAAAACCAGTTGCTAAGTGGGATGATTCTGCAAGTAGGACAGTCCATCAGATTTATCCTTTCCATTGGGATTTACCAAATCATCAGCACATCTAGGACTATTTGTGAAATCCCATGAAATCCCTATTGTTGATGGTTAAATCTGTAAATAGATCTATGTCTATATCCCCAGTAAATCCCCATCAATAGATTTATATCGCTTAAATCCCAAACATCGACTCTGGTTGATGGTGAAATCCTACACACACACACATATATATATATATATCTATAATATATATATATATATGCATGTATACATATCACCATGGTATTCCAATTAGTACCCTCTGGTTATTTAACATAGCTATGGAAAATGACCCATTTACAGATGATTTTCCAATAAAAAAACCCTCCATTTAGAATGGATTTTCCATATGTTAGTCATAACCAGATGGTAGATGATATATCTTCCATTTTTGGTGGTACCCCCGGAACGGCGGAAACCGCCGGATCCCGGCACCCTGTGGTGAAGGTGCCAGCCCAGCCATACATCACAGAAGCGCAGGACCTGTACATGGGAGCCCAGGAATAGCTGGAAAATCGCTTAAAAACCCGGAAAATCATAGGAAAACCACAGGAAATCATGGGAAAACATACAGAACATGATAGGAAAACCATAGGGAAATCATGGGAAAATCATAGTAAAATCATAGGAATTCATGGGAAAATCCTAGAAACATATGGAAAAGACAACTACAAATTGAGGTTTATAGCTGGGAACAGCATCTATAATTTGGTGGATTTTCCAGCAAGCCACGGCGATGATGATCTCATTTCTCGCAATTTCTCCACTTTTCTAGTCCATTCTCCCATCCAATGTACCCAAATACACCTTGTGGAACTGCCCGCGTGTGGTAAGGATTGATCCTCAGCCACCAAGCGGTAGGTTTTCCGGGTGAGCCGATCCAACAGGTGAATTGAATCCAGGTAACATCTAGCGCCGCATGGATTTCTTTGGAAATAGGGTACCATATAGGGTAGCCCATACCCCGAAATCCATGGCTTATGGCTTAGTCATCAAATTTTTCTGATTGTTGGTTAATATATGTTAATATCACCGTCAGATAGATGTTTCATGATGATTTTGATCGTGGATTTACCTTGGATTTGCTGCTAAAGAGGTCGATATTCCCTTAGTCGATTCCACAGTAAGTTGGTGGTTTTCCATTGGGAAACTCAACAATCACCTTAAACAAATCCAGGATAAGTACGGTTGGATCGGCTAAGGCGCGCCCTTCAGATCTGAGGTATGGACGACTGTCAATGTGATCTCCTGGCGTTTTTTTTCAAGGGAGATCTGTAGGAAAAGTTTAGCTATCAAAAATAACTTTGTTAATTGGTTATTATAGGGGATCATGCGGTTATACTACCCAATATACTGGGGATTGTCACCATGGAGAATCCCAACCAACAAGCATTTCAGGGATGGGAAAAAGGGGTTATTTTTCATGGCTCAGTTCGTGACAAAATGGGATGATTCTGCTAGCTTTCTGATGGCAGATCTTTTCAATTGTCAAATTGACTGGTCTGTGATCTGAATCCACCCCGAATCTACCGACATTTAGAGGTTCATGGTTCTTTCTTCATGCTTTGCAACAACCTGATTTGCTGTGCTAGAAACTTCCTTGAGGGACCCAAGATGTGGTTTGGAATTTCCGTTCAACCGGTGAGGCAGTAGAAATTTCACAGATCCTTAGTGACAAACTTGAGACACCTGGTGCTTGAACCCTCAATCAACCATCTATATTTGCTGGCCCATTCGCACTGTTCTCTCCATTGTTGGAGAGTCTGAACACACACGACACATCTGTATACATATCTATATTCACATCTATATACATATTTACACATGCACACACACAAATGTATGTACAGTAGATATATTATATGTATATATGGGTTAGTAGCCACTTGCAATTATTGGGATACACATTGGTAGGGAGACTCACCCGCCCCTTCCAGCTCGCAGTTGGCACCCGGCTGCCCATTGGTGTCTTCATATCGCCAGCAGCGCAGTCTGGCGTTTTCTTTCAACGGGGGGGTGTGATACCAGATCTGACGAAAAATTGAAAGATAAAGTGATAGATTTCATTATTACCCAAAATATATGATGGGGAACTTTGGCTCAATTCATTTACGAAGCAGCTTATTTCATCCCCTTGAACCGGTAGATAACCCTAGGGTCTTTTCAATCATAAACGAGCCATTTAACTATATCGGCTAGCTGGTCTTCATCACAATAACAGAAATATCACCAGGTTTTAGATGTAATCGACCTGTGATGGGAATAGGCCATCAAAATGGGGACGCAACAAGCATAGCCAACAAGTCAACAGGATTCAGGCTTTGAAGGGGAACCTCCTCAAAGACACAAGTTTCAACGGGCCATCGTTATCCCATCCCCCATGGTGAACCCTCCACGGCTGCACTTGCAACACCTAAACTCCTAAACTGTGCAGGCGAACACCTTATTTGGATTTATCTGGTGCTGTCTAATTCGGGATGCCCAACATCATAGCTTTCAATACCAAGTCGTGGTCATCCATGACGGCTGGATGACTGGGGGTAACCCTTTTTCCGATTTTTCACAACTGCCAAGCACCACCTTTCGGAGCGCACGCGGATGCATCCAGGGTGTAAGCCTCGGCAACTTTCAAAATCAGGAATCTCATACTGAATGATAGTATATAAAATAGTAGAATAGTAATACTACTGATATATATATATGTAAATACTACATGAATGATGGTACTAAGAAGGGTGGTATGAATAGTGATGGTAATAGTAATGATAGTAGAAAACATAATGATCATACATGTAAAACTAATCATAGTAACATCAATAATAGCAATAATAACAACCAACACGAATGATTGTCAACATGACCAGAAGAACCCACACAGATCATGATACTAATAACAAGTGCAATCATGATGATGATGATAATAATGATGACGATGACGATGATGATGATGATGTTAGCCACCAGCGTCATCAACATCATCGTCTGAGTGAACTATAATTCCTCTTAACCTCACTGTCAAACAGGGCTCCGGACGCCCTTCAGGCATGACACACCTTGGTGTGAGTCAGGTGGGCGACCCGTAGGGATCATTTGAGAAAGCCTTAAGCCATGATTTCAATGGGACTTTATTTGGTTGAAACACTGACACATATGCTTGGCCAACTGGGCTGTTGAATTGTTGAATTGTTGAAGTGTTGAAGTGTTGAATTGTTGAATTGTTGAATTGTTGTTGTTGTTGTTGCTGTTGCTGTTGCTGTTGTTGTTTCTGGACATTGACCCTCTGGTGATTCACCCTGGCAGTGGAACATCTTCTTTCATGATTTTCCAGGAAAAAACAATCACCATCGCTGAGGATTTCCGCCATACCAAAAGGCTGAGATTCCAACTGGCAGAGCCGCTCAGGACTGACGCCAGCGCCTGGGGCAAGTCACTCTTTCGATCTTTTTCTGGGAGTCTTCGAATCCTCGAACCTTTCATAAAATAGGAAAAGTAATTGGACGCCAATTAGAAACGTGATTCGGTTCCATTCCTTTTAACCATTTTAATCTAAATTGGACAATGATACTATGGTGTCTGGGCGCCATGGGATTCTGATAGGCCAAGACCTGTTTCCGCGGGGATGGGCATGAAATGGGCTCAACATCCCAAAAAATCAAAGCTACCAGGCACTTAGGCCCAGGTAAAATCAGATAAAGTACCATAAATATTATAATATCCACATATATATATATCTATCCATATATTTTTTGGTCTTTTGGTACGGTGGATGGTTGCGAAATCCTGCACCAAAAGAGCTTTCCAGGATTTCAATTGCGACGCCCGCGGCTCCCAACGCTGCAGTGCACGGAGCTGTTGCTGAAGTTGCTGGGCCTGCAGCTGACCGGTGCCTTGACCGACTAGGGCAAGAAGCCAAGATATCTGGCAGAATTACTTGGAGGTTTCAAGTTATCCCAAAATGTGAAAGTCAATCGCCGATTCGGATTCAAAATCAGCTTGGAGAAGAAGATATTCCATCAGATAAACCACCAACCCAAAACTGGTTGATGGTTTCAACATGTTTCAACCCATGCAGAAAAGTATTAGTCAATTTGGATAATCCTCCTGCATAAGATGGAAATAATGAGAGAACATGTTTCAAACCGTGCTGAATGATTAAATAATGAGAGAACATGTTTCAAACCGCGCTGAATGATTCGATTTCATAGACTTATTGGTTTGTTGGATACGATCGAAATGTTAGAATAAAAAAAAGTGCGAAATGGATCATTTGCAAATGATGATGGAATTTCAATATCATGATCCAATAATCCAATATTTATTAAAGAGTGCCATGGGATTCTTGTGGATTGGATTACCGGAAAACTGGAAATCCATGGAACATGGCCAGATGGCAAAAAATGAGAGATTCTTGGTGAGTTGGTAGATCATCCCATTGATACCACACCCAGCGGACGATGTCAGGATCAGTCTCACATGGGCGGGACAATGAAGTCTGTGCATGCTAGTCAGCCAGTCAGCTAGTCACATCCCATTTATTCACAGATTCAAGGATTCGTTTCTACCCATCTGGGGATGGGTCAAAACCCTGGTACCTGGTGAACATCAAAATAGCTGGTAAATGGATGTTCATCCCACTAAAAATGGTATTAATAGGTATTGATCCATACCCATCTACGATTCACCGAACTGCGAACAAATCTCTGGAGCTTCCGCACGTGCGCGTCTCGGGTGTCTCCATGAGCGTGCTGGCGGACAGCTCCACATTGACGCTCTCTCCGCTGTAGGTCAGTTGCCTATCACCACGACAGGTGGGGCATCCTCAATTCTACACCATTAACAATGCTAGTGATTAATAATGATTAATAGTGGTTGCTAATGGTTAGTGGTAGTGGTTCATAGTGGTTAATATAGCGGTTAATAATGGTGAATAGTGGTTGATCATGGACATAGAATAGGATTGAATGGGAAACATGGCTAGCTGGAAAACCCGAATGAAATCGAGGTCTTAATTCGAAGATCATCTACAAATGAGGAATTTTCCATTATGTTTCATTACCAGAGGGTATGCCCCCGCTTGTTGAAGTTGATTTGGCCTTTTGTCCCCAAGCTTTGCTCTTAAAACATCCTCAATATCTTAACATATCATTCTCTTCACTGATTCAAACATGGGATCATAAATCCATGTCTCATCTTGTTTTTCAAATGTTCTCCGTGTTAGTTTATGACATCCAAGCTTTTTCCCTGTTTCCGCCGCTCAAAACTTAAATCGCAAGAAAAACTCCACCTTTTTTTCCAAACTTTCCAAAAATCAGCTGGTGAAATTCCCAACACCGCCCATAAAAGCGGTTGATTAAGCCATATTTGGATGTTGTTCCTCAGGCATTGAAATCTACAAGATTTCCAGTTGAGTGTTCAAAACCCCTTTTTTCTTCCCTACTGGTTGGTCAAGAATGGATTTCCCAGTGGATTATGATCATCCCCACTCCTTAAAGGATAGGTTTTTATACCTCCAATCATCAACCAGGGCTTGTGAACATCATGTATCGACATATATCATCAAACCATAGTTTTTGAACATAGCTGAAACCACCATTTGGAGGTTTCCTAGAATGGTACCCCGAAAGCACCCAGTTTCATCGGAATTTCCATTAACCATCCAGCTATTGCGGTACCCCCATGACTATGGAAACGATTAAACTTCTATTTAAAGCTCCATAGAGAGCACCTTTTCTTGGTGATTTTTCCCATTGAAATGCACCTGACGACGCTGCCGCAGCTCAATTCCTTGCAGCCGCTGGCGGCCAAGATCTCGCCACGAAGGCAGGTCACCTGGATATCGCCCTCGTACCTGAAAAGAAGGACCCTTTTCTTGGTTCAGACATGGTTAATGTATCGTTAAGATCTGGTTAATGATCATGGTTGATATGGTTGATTGGAAGTTTGTTGAGAAGTTTTGACCCTCACATTTGTTTCTACTCTACCACAACTCATGTTTTATGAACTAAAGAAACCAACTAGGGCCAGGGATTTAAAGCGAAGATGCTGTACGAAACGGGCTAGAAATCAGTGAAGCAGTTTTGGCACCAAAACACAGGGAAGTTTTGACCACGACAAGATTACGCGGGGCATTCTAAATAGCAACAAATGATGGTCTGGGCAAAAATGAAAAGGGTTCTAACCAATCCAACACATTTTGAGCACCAAAAAAGCAGGGTGAGATTCAGCAAGTACGGAGCAAGCAACAAACATAGTTCTTTTCGTCACCCAAAAGTGGGCGGAAACCTAGAACTATAGAACACTCAGAGACTTAACGCTTCTATCACTCATTTCTGTACAATGTTTAACAAATCAAGGGGAGCCAGGAGCTCAACTGGACAGGAAGCTCACTGGGTGTCGAAGGAAGAACAGGCCACAGTCCAGGAGGAACCACCTCAGTGCGGTGCCAATGGAGGATTTTTTTCGACTTTATGAAGGCTAACATACCAATACAATCTATAAGCAGCTATAAATAAATGTATATATATAAAAGCCATAGCAAATGCCTGTTATTCACTGTTCTTTACATGATCATATACTGCAAGATCTGAAAGATGCCACTCATGGATGAAATTCCCCAGATTCCTCGATGGAGAGTACTGAGTGCCTGGAGCTCCTAATTTGAGCAATGGGGTTTCCTCTTACCTGAAAATGGAGTGCCTGGCAATCAGATTTCTATCCATTTTCAACAAGGAATCAACTCCAAACGGAAGAGTTTTCAGCCAGCTTAAATGACCAGAAGGTTGGATCGAATTTGAAGGATTATCCACTTAATAACTGATTAGTCACTCTAAGGGATTCCAAATTCCTGGTGCGCACTGGGGTCATGATTTCCCGGTAGAAAGTCGCAGCAGTTTCCAACCAATCACCAAGTGCTGATGGAAATCTACGTTTTCAAGGTTTTCTATCCAATTCTCTTTGAACATTGGTGGTTCTCGCTGATTTTGGCGCTTTTCAGGGCATCTCAGGGTCATTTCTTCGATAGTTTTCCATCACCCGCTGGTAACATTGTTTTTTCCCATGAACTGGTGGGTAAATAGCCATTGCCCTCATTTGACATAACAAAATGACCCATTGAGATGAGACAAATCATGACTTTAACCACTCAAAATTATGATTTTCCAGTTCCCTACGTTAACCAGAGGGTCTGATACCAATCCACATCCCTTTGGTTGAAGTGATCGGATCCCACTCTGAGCATCCCCTGCTTTGCACTTCAGCACTGGACTGCACAGAGTAGCTGTTGCTGCCCAACTGACGTCCAAGTCACCGAAAGTTCGCTTCAATGCCAGCGGCTTAAATGCCAAGTGTTTGTTGGTAAGCACGGTGTTTGGTTTTGGTGAAATCCCAGTACTCTTTTCAGACGAGATTCTCATCAGATGATTCGTTGATGACAAAGAGAATCCATGAAGCTCTGAGTTCATACTACATGACATGGGATCCCACAATGATGGGACTCCTATTCCAACCGTTCCAACCGTTCCAACCGTAACTTTCGCTACGCTTTCGCTACGCCGGACTGTTTGGATCATCCCCTGACATGCTTAGTTTGATAGCTAGTATGATATTACAAGCCTCTAACCGGACTATCCCATGATAACATGGTTTTTTCACCAGCCCGCCGGTCCAGGGCTAGCTGAATCTCCAAACGTGGCAGGAAAATCCTCACACTAAATGAAGTTCGATAGCTGGGGAAAAACATCGAAATACATGGTGGATTTTCCCGCAAGCCATGTTTGTCCATGATATTCCCATGCATATGTCATGCATATTCCATGATATCCTCATTTATATAAAGTTTCCTGAAATAGGGGTACCCCCAGTTCTCATCCATTTATAGATGGTATTCGGTATTTTCCATAAACCATCCATCGGTCCATCGAGCTGGGGGTACCACCATGACGATGGAAACCCCCATATCCCCAATGAAATCCCAAAGTGGCAAAGCCATGGAACTGACACCAGCAGATATCACACCTGAACGCTGGCAGACATGCTGCTGCTGCAGGTCTTAGGCCTGACGTGAACATGGATTTGAATGCCAAAAATGGTGGTCAAACACGTACATGTATAGTATGTATCATATGTATCATATGTATAATATGTATGTATGTATATCGATATATTATATCGAAGTCCCCCCGAAAGAAAGAGATCTCATTAGACTAATGTACTTTTCTATATTTTTTTTACAGTTGCTATGAGCGTATGTAAAGATTTGCAACACAGCTGGTTTACCTACCAAACAAATCAGGGAGACTGCCGAAAAACAGCCAATGAACAAACGACGGGCTTACAAACGTTTGGGGTATGATCAACCAGCACTTGGGACACAACCAATCGATATCAGCGACAGTGAAAGGTTCTACAGCCGCCCCCACCCACAGGGACAACATGACATACCGCAGCTTGGCAGTTCTCCAATATTCACCAATGCTCTTTGGACATCCTTTTTTCCACTTTAAAAAAACCCAGGATTCTTGGCATCACCCGTTCTTTGCCTCCTTGGCATATTTAAAAAACAGCTATTTCTAGATGGCTTTCCGTTCCGCTGGAACTCTGTGGGCCCCAACTCGCAAGCGCTCACATCGACACCTGGGGATATGAAGATGGGCATTTTTCCCAGAGGATGCTACCAAATAAAACTATGGCTATGTATATATAATATTACATATATAGTTGATGTATGATAGGTAAGTTGATTATTTTTTGTATTCTAACTGAAAGGTTGATTTCAAACTATCTACGATAACGAGTCGATTCTGCATCGTCAAGAATAGTCGAGTAGAGCTCGTTGGAATGGAACCTGGATGTCAGTGAGATACCCATTTATGTATGACTGTCCTATCCAAAACACTTTTCCCATCGCTGGCTTTGATTGCCAGAGTTCATTTTCATCTTACTTCTTCAAAATGACTAAGTGGCTACTTCTCAGGTGGAATATCCACACTTAGAATAGTTATGGCTTATCTATGGGTTATACACCACTTAAACCACGGAGCCAATGCCTAGGATGCATCACTTACCACGGAGCCCCGTGAAAAACCGGGGCGCCGCACTGAAGATTCCGCGGCTGCAGCTGGCAGTGGCCGTTCCCACGAAGCCCAGCAGGTTCTACCATGGGAAGCGTAGCCAGTGGGTATAGCCATAGTCAGGGGTTATATTTATTCCTAGAGGTACACCATCATAATGGCTAGAGTAGTTACAATATGTTTAGATCTTTTTAGAAGGGTTATACCGTTATACCCATAGTAAGAAGGGCTAACCATAGGGGACTTATGGTGGCTACATCTGTATCCATGGTTGTACAGTTTAAACCCATTAAGAAAACCGCGATCACATCCAAAAAAGGCTGCGATGCCCAACTTCGGGGGTGCTCGGACCCCATCACCATTGTGGTACAACATGAAAGGCGCGGCGGTGATCGTGGGAAAAAAAACGACCGCCAGAATGGCATCATCATACGATTCACGATGGATCTTGCAGATCTTGTCATATTGTTGTCTGCCAAGAAACTCCTTGATCGCACAGTGGTGGCCAATCTTGGGGTTCCCGCAATGGACCATGACGAGCAATCTTGGTACACCCGTATCTCATTTTTGGTTACGTACCTCCTCTGCAGTATTTTCTGGATTTACACTTTTGTTGGTGTCATCCCCTCGTGTGATGCCATCAACATCCATGCCCTCCCCATCCGCACGCTGCGACGGTCCTCGCACGACACGCTCTCCGATTGCCCATGTTCCAAGGCCCCCGAGGGATCATAGATCTTAGGCAATGCACGGCTAAGGTTTGGAATCGGGTTCGCTGCCGAATCCCAGCATTTCTCTATTGGGCTTCACAGGAGGGATATATCGAGCCTGAGTTCATCGTGAAAACATGGAATAGGTCCCACTTGAAGATCTTGGATATTGCTTCATGAGGGAATCAACATCAAGTGGGATGAACGCGAGATTTCCAACTTGGCAGTGGTTTTTTCCTCCAACTGCATCAAATGAAGCCGATCAAAAACCATGCCGGGCAGCAAATACAAGGCGATGTCTATATCTATATCTGTCTATCTATATCTATATCCTACATCAGCAGGCAGTTTCAACCCATACCCCCCAAACCCAGTCATCAACTATCATTGACTTCTCATTGACTTCGAAAGCAGGGAATGGCCATGTGACGATCGGAAATTCGCACCTGGGGTGCCTCAAATTATGCGATTGCTGAGCACTACCAACAGAACCCACCACTGTTGCGTTGTTCACATTAGGTATTGATCAACATTATCTGGTTGGTGGTTTATTCCCAATATATGGAAAAACATGTTCCAAACGACCAATCAGTCATGCCAAGATTGGGATGCTTCCGAAGTCCTGGCACTCATCAGTTCTCATCCATTTCGGATCCAAGGCACTGTCCAAACGCCATCCTTCTCGGTGGGAGCACCTAGGGATGGTAACCAGCCGTAAACAAACAAGACTCAGTCTGAGTTAAGAAAATCATGGTGGATCAACAATAGTACTCCACTAATATCGACTAATCATGTTCACCAGGCAAAATTAAAAAGCGAAGTTATAAGCAACACGGTAACTTCATCTCATGGCCCTCTCCATGCTGGATTTTCCCTTAAACTCCAAACATCAACGTGTTTATCAAATTCACCGATATCATATTGTGATGATATCCCACAGACTTCCTGTAGGTCCTGGTTGCCTTGCCTATTTCCCATTAAATTTCCAGATGGGTCTGATAATGTAGCCCCACATTTGATGCTTGACCATCATTTTCCATCTCTAAATTGCAATAACTGGGGGTATACTCACCATTTCAAACACGCATAAAATTATGATATCAAGTGGCTTGTGAATATCCCATTACTCTTCCATTCATATTCCATTTGGGAGTATCCTGGAATATGAATGGAATATGAATAATAGTTGGGAATATATAAACATTCATTTACTATTCAACAATAGTTGTCCATATCCATTACTATTGAACAATATAAACAATTACTATTCCATTTATTCAATCATTCCATTATACTGGTTGGTTTTTTTTCGGAAATCTCACAATGGACTATGATCATCCGCAACAAAAATTGGGGAGTAGATTTTCTCCGAACTAATCATCAACCAACCACTGTTTTGAACACTGCTCAGTTGGAGGTATTCCATTCGAACATGAATGTAATTCCATTCGAAAATGATCATTTGGGAGTAAATGTGAATTCTTGTATATAATTGAACAATTATATCCAATTCAGCTAATATCCATTACCCTCCCATTACTAGTCATCAGTTGAAGGTAAACCCCCCATTGACACCACACCTACACATGTCCCTGGGCAAACCCAACGCGCCGCAGCGCTGCAGGCAGAGGCAACACTGGAGCTGCAGCCCGACACGCTGCTATACCTGGTGTGAAGTCCATGGTTTATTCTATGGGAATATTTCTATGGTTTACAAGTGATATATCTATAGTTAATGGGCTTAAAACATCTTATAACCAATTTATAACTGGGGGGCACCACCTTCTATGGGAAGAATTCCATCCCCCTAATATTGAAGCCTTAGAAATCATGGTCTTTCGAAGGGAATTTCCACATTCTTGGGACCATGAAATGGGGGTGCTTCATATTAGCGGGATGGGAATAATATGGAATAATACATACACCATGGTTAATACAGACCAATCTATTCCATTATAATTCTTCCAATTTTTAATATTGGTCCTACTGGCTCGCGAACATATTTCTTTCAAGAACGTATTGTTGGCTGGTGCCTTTTGAATAAGCTAGTGCAATACCAACTTTTATTAACAATAAACCAACGGATTTTTGAGAATGCTTCAATATTGATGCCCCCTGTGCATGTAATTCGGTGCCAGTGTCTCTACATATGTCAGACAAACGGATACTGAATGAGGATCCGAAACAATCCATAAAGCTGGGGGTTCCATAGGCATTTGCTAACTGATAAGCAACACATATACATGTATAGATACATGTTTAAAAATAAGTAAATAAATAAATAAATAAATATATATATGAATATAAACCACACACACATATAATTGGGTTACATTCCATAGGCTTAGTCAACTTATTCTTCCTACAGAGCTGTCAAAAAAACTCAGCCTTTTGAGTCATGGCTAAGAGCGTTTCGGGGCCATCGATCATCAACAGGTCATGGTCAAATGTGGTAAAGCCACCAGAAAAATATCCACCATTTTGGTTTATCATTCCCATGAAATATAAGGGGTTTAATGGTCTTTCATGGGATTAAATGAGAGTTAAATGGGATAGAAAAACCAACAATCTGCTTGCTTCTGACTTTTTTGGGTCTGAACATAATTGGTTCCGTGATGGAACCCTGCCAGTTCAAAATGGGGTTGCACCGCTGTTCAAATCACAGTTGAACGGCGATGGGTGGTTGCAACTTCATAGTATATAATGATGGCATTTGCAATTTGAAATGGCTATATCACGATACATCCAGTTGCTATCCAGATATTTCTGTAGTGATATTTCTGGGCAAACAATCATCATTCCAACATGTCATAAATCGCCAATTAAGTACCTGGAGCTTATGGAAGCTCTCTATTTTCGGTTTTCCCAGTCAGTTCATTTTTTCATAACGTACTGAAATCATGATCCCCCAAAAAACATGTCTTGGCCTTGCAAAGCTTGGAACTCGATTGGCCGAGATTGCTATCACTGTTGGGGTCGCCAACATTTTCCTATCCAAACGTGGTCCGCTAAGGTTCCGGTCACAGAGGTTTGCCCAGTAAATTCCCAAATATTGTTGAATTTGCAACCTCCAATGCAAAATTACGAAATCATCATTTCCATTAATAGTAAACGCACCCCAAATACGGTGTGTTTGTTATTATAGGGGTAAGGGTATTGGATTCCAAAAACTTCCACCTCAAGCCTTGGGCTAAAAATAGGAAAACTATACATTCTATTCCATATATCTATACTATAAATTATAAATATATTATAGGTGTGTACACCTATGAAAGGGTCATATTCGTGCAGCACCAACCAGCGTAGTCATTCTGTTCCGGTTCAACCAACCTAGCAAACCTCAGTCTGAGGTTGAGGTGGCAGAGACGCCCACGCACTTCAACAAACCTTGTTTTAGGTGACGGCGCTTGTCAGGTGCAGGAGAAGTCAGGTCGCCACCCTCGGTTTGGATGCAATAATCAATTGACAAACAAAAAACCTGTGTGGCTCCCTGGATCCAGTGGTTCTCCAGGGAGTGCTGAAGGTCTCCATGGCGACGATAGCCACTGTAAAAGTGCACAAAGCAGAGGGTACGGATGTGGAGCATGGCATGCAAGCGGGCCAGCCCTGCCATAGCATAGCAATCGGCAGCGCCTTTGATAGTGCCCACCGACTGGACCACAAAAACCAGGTCGCCGGGAGTGTTAGAAGCCTGTCAGCTAGAAGTTGTGCCCGTCAGTTAGAAGGTTTCGGGTGGGGTGGGGGGGGAAATAACGTCCTGTCGGCTCGTTTCTCAGCTTTACGGGGGCAGGGAACCGGGTGGGGTGGGGTGGGTAATGTCTTGCTGCTACGTTGCGGAAGTTTTCCTACAATTTCAAAGACGCTCCTGATGGTACGCTGCGGAAGTTCTCTTGCAATTTCAAACACGTTCCTGATGTTACGCTGTGGAAGTTCTCTGCAACGCTCATCCAGACTTGCGTAACACGTGCAAAATTGGATGTGGTCTCGATCTCACGAAAGAACTTGGCATGCTCATGAAGTCGGTCAACCGCAAGATCTGCTACTGAAAGTGATCTCTCTGGGCGACAGATAAAAAAAATGCTCCGGTTGCCACATGCGGACAAGTCTTCGAAATACAATTTTCCTAAAAATGACAATTTCGCTGTGGCGAAAATCACATGAAGTTCATTTTGAGGCGCGGCGCCAGTTATTTTTTTAAGGGTTTTGAAACATCAAATTAATGTGCGAGATGTAAAAATCCCTGCGCTTACCACAATTTTGAACTTTGAAGGACATAAATTACCCTTGAAAAAATGAAAAGAGCGCCGTCGCTCCACAGGCACCGCCACCTTGTTTTAAGGTAGATTTCTGTTTACTTTGGCCTTTTTCTCGGTCTCCGCCTTTGCTTTTCCGGCCCCGGGTTGCAATGCGATGCCGCTTCGCGCGCTGAGCTGCCAGAAAAAGCCTAATGATTGTTGGTTTACACCTAACTTTGATGCTTAAATTGAATCAGGTCACAGGCGTCCATCGAGGCAAACCAATTGCCCCTGGCCGCTGTAGTCGGAACCTCGGTGCAAAGTGCTGAGCTCCAAAATTGGGATGTTTAACCAACAGAAATGGTGATTTCATGGGATTTTATGGGGATTTATAAGCAACTTTTAACGGTGACTTAACAGATATGGTGGTTTTACCAACCAAAATATGGGGATATCATAGGGATTGATTGACCCACAAAATGGTGATTCAAATTTAGATGTACAATGGGGATATAATGATGATAGAATGAGGCAAAAAGTTGAACACTCTTCCCACGAAATATATCCGGGATTAATCCAATAAATGTGATTTCATCAACCATATATAATTAGGATATAGTGGGATTAACCCAACAGAAATTAGGGTTAGGCAGAAACGGTGGTTTTGCCAATAAAAATATGGGGATACAATGATGATATAATGGGGGCTTAATTGGGATATAGTCGGGATACTCTTATGAGTAGATTGTGAATATTGGAATACTAGGGAGTTACCCTCCGGTAATCAAACATGGCAATGGACAATCCCCTATAAAATCTATAAAGTGGTGGATATCCCAGTGCCACGTTTGATAGGGTAACCAATAAAGATAAATCCCCAAAAATAACATGGGAAGATATCAGGATGAATCCTACGATACTTGACCATGTGTCAAAGATTCTATGACCCTTTGGCGGTACAATGGAACCATTCCAACCGGAACTGATTGGGAGGAAAATGACGATGGAGTGATTTCATTTCAAAATGCCATGAGGATCCATGGGGCACTTGTGGGACACTTGGGACCAAAGGTCAAGAACTTCGAGGGCTTTAAATTTGATGCTGGAAGCGATCACGTGTAAAGATGGGGCTTAAACATGGAAAATAACACGGTCAAAGCATTGGATGTCCACTGGTATAGTTTTGGAGCTTCTGATCTTCATTCTGGTCGGTAAATTGACATAGGTTGACCCACTTAGATGACTATGGGCCCATGCCCCAAGTGTGTCTGGAAAAAGAAATGCTCCACAAAACGCTTGAGGGAACGTGATGATCAACCATCAAATTTGTATTTTTTCGGGGTTTCAAATGGTGCCGGTAGACAAGACCAAGAATCAGCAATTTTGTTTCAACGTGCCCTTGGATGCCACGTGATTTCCAGTGGATGAGCCCCAGATTTGAAAGCCGACTTGTACCATTTAACAACCATTTACCAATTACATCCAATTAGCCACTAAATTTGATGGCTCTTGGCTGTCTAAGATTTTCAGACCGCATCTTTTTCTCCAGTTTTCTCCAGGCTTCCCGACTCACATCGGCACAATCGAAGCTCTCCGTGCCCTTTTCCGCGTTGGCGGTTTGCAGGCTGACGGCCTGTGACGAGATGGATCATGGGCATCCTGATGGGTAGACCAAGCCACAGAAAAGTTGGAAATCTGGATCGAAAGAGATAGATAGATAGGATAGGATAGGATAGGATAGGATAGGATAGATATACATACACACTTTTTTGAAATGCTAGTAAAACACTTTTTGGCATCTTTTTGGGGCAATCCTGTAAATGATTTTCTATGGATTGATGACCATCCCGTCAACAATTTTTGTTCGCCTCATCCAACTCTTGACCATGGCACCTAGGGATGGAAATAGGCTTGCCCAAACATGAGGCCTGTAAAAAATACTTTAATGTGGAACATGCTGACAAAACCATGGTCTTGACAATGGTGCAAGATTGAAAGACAGAATTCAGATTTAATGAAACAATTCAAGTTTACCTCACACATACAACTTAAAAATCTGACACCAACCATTTAACAAGCAAAAAAGACCCTTTTCTTTGCCATCTATCGGTGGAGCTGCCTGCCTTGCTGACGCTTCCCAAGTGAACCAAGGCAGCACTCGGCAAATCGCAGGTGTTGAGGAAACAGCTCCCTAGATCCAAAGTGTACTCCTTGGGACGGTGCGCTTGACGGCGCTTGAGTCCAGTGGTTTCCTCCTGGTGCCTTGTGGATCCTTGGGATCTTGGCTAAACTAGAAATTGACAGTTGAAAATTGAACTAAAACCAGCCGTATGATAATTCCCATCTGAGCTTTTTCCAAGACCCAGCCATCACGAGAAATCTTCATCATGTTGATGGTTTCTAGAGTAATGTGCACAGAAACAAGGCCAACAATTTGCTTTGTAGCAACTGTTTTCGCTGATCTTCTTGGTTGGGTTCTACGCCCATAAATGTAAGATGTAGATCACCGACCTGCTCATCGGGGCCCTAGCCATAACCCATCAATTCCTACCAAATTGTGGGCAGGTCGCCACATGTTTCTGTGGTAGTTCCATAAATCCCATCTTTTTGCTGCTTGACATCCCATCGTTGGTGAACTCCGGTCCCATGAAATCGTGGTCTCTGGGAGCCCCTGCAGAGGCCAAACAAGACACACTGAACCTCGATGTCAAAAGTCGAATGTTGAAACACCAGACTAACATGGGTATTACTAAGCTACAAACAAGTTTTTTTTATCAAACATGGACGTAATCCATTGTTTTAAGAAATACCTGACCTGGTGCCCCTGGTGACCTTGCCCAGGTCTGGGGAGAGGATTAGAGACATCACCAAGGCAAACGAATCTTTTACGAACCAAAAAAGTGATGTACACAACTTCATTGACTCACACCTAAATATATAAATTGAAACATACATTTTTGGAATGATTTCCACTGCTCACCATCATCGTATGGCGAGCTTGTTTTAAGGCCATTGTGTTTTTTCATCGCATCTGGGGGAGCCCCATCTTGACCCAAAAATGGAGTGCACGCCAAGTTATAGCCACTATAGCCATGGGGAAAATATGATGTTCCAATCGGGGATCGGATAGCAAGTGATGCAATCTACTTGGATCCCAGAAAGTGGCTTCGTTCACACCTGGTTCGTCCAGCTATAGCTTGGGTTATAATTCACCAACTGGGATGAACCACCAAGTAGTTGGTTATTACAGTGCATCCAATTTCACCATCCCTTGTAAAGCATTACAAGGTCAACAATTTTAAAGGAACATTTCACCATTTTTCAACATATGAGATGGGTCAAGAGCCAGCATGCAAATTCATTAATTTTGAATGTTCATACTTTGGGGAGCAATTCGATTTAATAACTGAAGGCAATAAAAATTTTGGGGGTTATATCCAAACTCATAGGGATTCTTTCTTTGGCTTTATATGCCCATCAATATCCCATTAAATCCACATGTTGAATGGTTTACTTCTATGAAATCACCATTTTTGATACTTAAATCCCAAAATTCTGGGTATCCATCCATAGCACCCAACGAAAGGACACTTAAGTAACATTTTTTCGGGTGCAGTCCTGGGCTTCCCGGACGTTCCCACCAACTGCGTGTCGAAAATGCCACAGTCGCCGGTGCCCTGTTGGAGGTTTGTGTATCTCAGGTGCCAGGTAACTGGAGTAAATACACCTACGTGTGCATTCAAAATTGGATATATATATATATTAATCTATCTACATGTGTAAAGGTATGCAAATATATACATACAAATACATTTACATATACATTTGCATTTACATATACATGTGCATACATATTTACATATACAAAAAATAAAAAATATATATGTAGATATAGATATAGATATAGATATAGATATAGATATGGATATAGATACGACCCCGAAATCCATATCTAAGAGTAGCCGATGCGTTATAGGAACATCAAGGTTAAAATACCTCAGGCAGAAACGCACCCATGGCTACAGAACCAGGCTGTTCAAAATTGCCTGCGAAAATGCTTCCTCCGACCTCACAATGTAGGGCGCACCCAAGCGCGCTAACAAGTCTAGCACCCTGTCCAGCTGCGTCTCCGCCATCGCCAAGAATGTAATGCACCCAGGACATGGGAGGCCCAAATGACGAGACCATTTTGCTAACCTAAATCGCGCCCCCTGTCCAGGCTTATGAAACCGTAGGCCTGGGCATTCTTCGGTGGCATATTGCGTGAGAGCAGGGCTCAATATGTGCATGCGCTTCTTGTCGCTTTATTTTGAAAACATATACGTGTACATATACATATATACAAAAAATACGTATGCATATATATATATATTTACGTACATACACATATATACACACACACATGCATATATATATATACACATATTATTGTATATTTGTATGTACACATATACATGCAACACATAGTCAAAAATTCATATACATACATACCTAAATAATCTACACATACACATATGTCCCTACATATATATATATGTATAGATAGATGTATATCTATACATATACATTCTCATATGCATATACAAAAAATACATGTACATATTCAAGTTCATATACAAATACATACAATCCACGCATACATTCCATTCCATTCCATTCCATTACATTAAATTACATTGCACTACATTACATTACATTACATCACATGACATTGCATTGCATTGTACGTATCAACATACGTACATACCTACATGTATGTATGTATGTCTGTATGTATGTATGTACGTACGTATGCACGTATGTATGTATATACTTTTTACAAATACTACCAGTACAGGGTGGTAACCCCCCAAGCGATAAGTTGGTACATAATCCCCATTAGCACTAGCATGGGTTATTGGGCCAATCGCCAAAGAATATAGTTTTTTTTGATGATTAAACGCATCTTGGTCAACCCTTCATCCTTTGCTGGCCAGGGGATGGTAATTTTAAAAATACCATATGGGGTTTCTCGAAACCGGGGATCCCCAAGTCACCATGATTGTTGCAACTGATCGAATGACTTGGATGTTTCGGGGGTACACCCGTTTTAGCAAACCTCCACAAAATGGGGATATCACACACGCGCACACACACACATATATATATATGTAAAAAGTCGATGAGGCTAATGGAATATATAACTATTTGGATATGTAACTTGTGGATTTGTATGAACATAGTGAATACTTCAAAAACCAACCCCGTTATACTGGTTGGTTGATTCGGACTCCCAATATAATCCTCATGAATATCCCTCGTGGTGGTTGAATTCCCATGGCAAAACCAACCAAGAATGCCATGGTGCCATGATCAATCTTTGAAAGTCACCAATAAAACAATCTTTTGCTGGTTATGGTTGCTTTTTCATTAGCACCAAAGATGAGAGCATTAGTTTCTACCCATCCAGTTGGGGATGATCAACCATGGTGTGTACTTCATCCCATTTGCCACCACGGTTAAGAAAATGGTAAAACATCCATGAAGAGAAAATGGTTGATATTCCATGCAAGCTACCGCCATGATTTCTATTAATTAAGGGAGATTAACCATCATAATGGTGATAGAAATAAAAGCTATTCTTATTGGTTAACCACCAGCCGTGGGCCCGAATCTTTCCAGCAGTGCGGCCGAGTCAGCAGATCTTCGGGTGATTGTTTTCCACCGCTATGGATGATCTTTGACGATCTACATCTTTGGTCGCTCCTCAACTGTTGGAGGCACATGAGAGCCAATGTCGCCAGTGAGCTGGTAACTGAATGAGATTTGTGCGGGCAGGGCCACGTGGTCCCCAACAGTGATTGTCAAAATGATTTCAAGTTGAGATGGCGCGGGGCAGAACATCATCGTGAGGACACCGAGGCCCCTGAGCAATCGAGCAGGACCTTACGGATTCAGCACATTGATTTCAGCATGTTCACACTTGGTGTTGGCATCTTGCAGACGAGTCTCTGGAGGTTTGTGGCTTCTGGCGACGCAGTTGTCGGAACTGAAGTGCGTGAGGATCGGCCAAGATTCTTGCTGCTCAAGCGGAGCATATGGCTTTCATACGGCTCAGATGCTTGTGGACTGGACCCTTGATCTTGATTCCCTCAGGTCTTGGCGTCATCGACGCAACCCGGTCAACCTTGACTGCGCTCGTGCAGTACCTCTGTTCAAACTTGTGTTCCAGCCGTTGGTTGTTGAAAAGTTGTTGAGCCAACTTGAATTGCCATTTGGACAGTTGCTGCCTTTCAATGCTCGGTGCACGCAAAGTTGTTCCAGGATTTCTCTGAAGCCGCTTGCATGGACACAGCTCGATTGAAATCAAGCCACGGGGCACACTGAGTGTTGGTGTGCTTTTCCCATTTTGTTGTGATTCTATTGGTCACCTGCTGGCACCTGTCTAGCAGCATCTTTGTACATTTTTGATTTTCAAGCGGCTTTCTGAGCAACCGACTCAAGCTGCTTCCAGCCACACCGTTAATGTTTGCCAACACCTTGTGGCAGAAACATGGAAGGCAGCTGAGGGCAAACTCTTTCAGCTGCCCTTGGTATGTATATTAAGCAAGTTGTTTCAGCGCCGGCCCGACGACATGACCACCTTGTGCTGCGCCGCACTGCTCACGCTGTGCGTGCACCGAAGTTGTCCGAGCTAGTGGTTAATCAGATATGAATGTATAACCAGATATCTGTGAATCATAATGAATGGTTACTATAGCCATTAGATCCATTAGATTTCTATTGGTTTAACCAGATTGATGAAACCATTCCTGCGATTAATGCGAAAGCCCCACGCTCGGCCTCGAAGCCGCTTGGGGCTGGCGAGGTACTGCCTGCGCAGTCGTCTCGTCACTCCCCAAAAGATATAGGGGAGATACAACATACATACATATAACATATATATATACACATACAAATATATAAATAAATAGATAAATATATATATATATATACAAATATATAGATGTATATAAATTATATACATGTGATAATCCATATTCATCCATGACACTATTTGGGATATTCAATCCATATGAAAATCATATCCCAAATAGTATCATGGATTATAGTATCATGGATTATCATGGATTATCATGATTCTCCATAACATGATCAAACTAGCATTTGATGATATTTTATGATCATATGGGATATACAACATTATTCTTGCGGGATAGACGCTGTTTCCCCATCATTTCCAACTTTTCAATCTCCATCATTCTGGGTGAAAACGGGCATGGGATTCTGGATATGAGATGTTGTGGAATAGTGAGATATGGGTTTTAATTCCACAACGAGAGATGAATGTCTACAATTTTGGGACAGGCAAGTATCTATCATCTTTATCTGTATTGTGAATATAGGATATAATTGATATAATGATAGCAAAAAGCGGGCATATCATACATGAACTAGGTATGGCCATTTTGATCTCTCGGAATACTTTCTCAGTATAATATACAACCAATCTGGGCGAATCTCCGTATTTCCAACCAACAATCTCTTCCGGTAGGACCAGTCGGTGGGGATAGCCTGCTGGGATGGTCACTGAAAATTGTGGTTAGCTGGCATGGAATCTCTTGGTGAGATGTGATGGGAAACAATGGGATAGCCACTTACCATGTACTATTTTCAATGATCATGGCAGCGTTCCAAGTTTTACAACCACAACAGGAATGAATTGGGAACCAAACATATCATCTGCGCCGCCGACATTATTGCTTTATAGAAATTCTGATCGTCATTTCAAGGCTTCCGTTTTGTGGTGTATACCAACCAATCTACAGCGACAAACAGCGGGCATTTTTGTGGCTGCGACGTCCTGCAGGAAGCCCTGCAAGGAATCCGAGGATTTAAAAGAGGCCACCAAGCTGCGCCAATAGTTACTAATTAAACATATATTAAGAATAGATTCCCAGTATCCAAATATATTAGATATGTATATATATACTTAAACATAGATTCCTATTCTCCAAATTCCGGGCGGAAAACTGACAGTCTCAGATGGCGGGCTAGGTACAGTTGGCTAAGACACAACCGGCTCTGGACCTGGATGGTTTTCCAAAAGACGCCCTGCTTGTTCCAAAGCCGATTCTTCGCTTGCAATGTGACGAACTCTGAGGAGCAAAACTTCCAGAAGTGCTGTCGTTTCTCAAAGTTTGAAACTTCCAATGGCATTGATGGGGGGGGTTCAGATTGAGCTCATCCGGGATGCTCTCCAGCATCGCAGACACCAGCGCCAAATGGCGTTCTCCACCATCGAGCACAGCTCTGCCAGTAATCTTAGGTAAACTGAATTTGGCTTAAGATGTACCCCCATCAAAGCTGCAAAAGATTAAAGTGTTAAACTACCCTTTATCAGTTGGTTTACCCAGTTGTTTCACCTCTCTCTCTCTCTCTCTGTTTTGGTTGGTTAAATCCCAAGACTTCGGGGAATAAATCGGCATTTTGATGGTTAGTCTCTTGCTATTGTACCTGGCCTGAATTTCATTCATTTTTTGTTCGATGACATATTTTCCCATCAATTTGCTGAGATTTGCCAGCTGAGTGGTCCGGAGTTGCATCCCTCAGCTCGCCTAGGGAATCGCCGTTGAGCCGTGCCAACAAGTTCAGACCTGCGAGTGCTACTAGGAAACTTGGTCATTGCGATCAATAGGTGTTCACATGGGATGGTTATTTATTTGATACGCGGGAAGATACTTGCCATGCTACTAGGAAACTTGGTCATTGCGATCAATAGGTGTTCACATGGGATGGTTATTTATTTGATACGCGGGAAGATACTTGCCACAATTCAAAATACTAGTGGGGTATATCATAATATGGGACACATGGCTATTTATGTGATATGTGGGAAGATACTTGCAATCATTTTAGACATCAATGACAATGATATATCTAATCGATCCAACTTACTCCCAATTAAAACCGCCATTTCAAACGCTGGTAACTCAAGCCTTTTTAGAGTTTAACAGCCATTGCTTTGTAGTAACCGCCAAAAAGATGTCAGAAAGTGTTTCTCGGATGGTAGTTTTCCCCAGTTTTCCCTCTTAATTTTCCCTAAATATCTTTGAACTTTTCTATCTGGAAAGTTTTGCTATGTTCAATGGATTGGTTTAAGGGGAAATTTACAGGAAAACCCCATATTTGATGGGAAAATCTATGGTTTCCTGTAGATTTTCCCTTAAACCAATCCATTCATATGTGGTAAACCCCCATATGTTTCACCATCCCAAATAGAGGTTGATCATTAACCTTACAGAGAGGTTGATCACCGCCTGCATGCGTCACGTACTTCACGGTGTCCTCGCAAGGTTTGGGCCTCGCCGACATCCAAAACTGTGTCTTCCCAAGCAACATATGGGCATACATGAGGGATTAATGAATGGGGCTGTTATGGAGATATGATATGATATAATTGGGATATAGTGGATGGTGATTAACCTATACAAGCGTGATTTGAACTGGGATAGAATGGGGACATAACCAACAGACAGGGTTGCTCCCTGGCGATACGTTTTGGGGCGGGAACTGTAGCCATCATTTGGCTATAATGGGATTGAGCAACCCCGTTTTTAGGGTGCGGAGTTTTTTGTTAGTGTATGGGTCAAAATTGGATACAGCACAAAAGGATGATTCACGAGTAAGAATGACCAGTACATCTGTTCGCAGCTGAAATTAAACTCCACATGGGTTTGTCAGAAAATGGAATAAATCGAACCCCAATGGATACTCATCATCCTTCCCATTCAATTGCAGCTCTAGAATATACCATCCAGTAATTAAATATGGGTATGAAAAAACATGGTTTCGAGATAATGATCTTCAAAACGGCTGGCTTGCCACAACTATGTATCTACTGGAGGATCTCCATTCTTGTGACACACACACAGGCATCATAGTGCATTTCTTATATATCCCTCATCCGCAATCCCGCTGTCTACCCCCAATAAGTTGGATAAACATAACACATTTTGATGGAGCAGCTGGAGTTGTCATGACTTTTCGGATGATTACAAGCCATCCAATTAGTGTCATTGGCTTAAAAACAACACTAATTATCCAATAATTAGAACCCAATAATCCTTATCCTAATGAGATCATCATCCAATACTCATCCCAGCCTGTGGATGGGCCAGCGAAATCCGAATCACCAGTTGATGGTAAACATCCCATGATTTACCCTCTGGTAATTTAAAATAGCTATTGAAAATGACCATTTATTTAGTTTATTTACCCATTGAAAATGGTGATTTTCCAAAGTTTTTTGTATGTTTACCAGAGGGTATAGGGTTTCAAGCATCCAAGGTCTAAAGCTGCAGGATTTCGCTGGCGCTGCTAAGGTCCCAGACCTGCAGCTGCTGGACATCAACGTGCCCAAGTAGCAGGTGACGTTGATGGACTCGGAGGCAGGCTCGAAACACATGGATGGACACTGGATATGTTCTTGGAAGACAGGGATAAAATTTCCTATCTTTTCAAAACCTGAGTTTTTATACTCATTTGATGTTGGACAAATTCAAATCCGTGCGGTGAGCCCAGTATGGTGCCAGCTGGTTAGCCCTGTGACGCCCCGACGCCCTCATAGCCACTGTCCACGTTGGAACAGGAGTCTGCCACGAAGTGCTCACCATGGAGCATGGCCTGGTGAGTCATGGTGAGGCCAGCTTCCTTGTGGATTAATTAATATGAATATCTAGAGAAATATAGGTATATAAAGAACACATCACACACACACATATATATATATATACATATATATATATATGTATGTATATAAATAAATATATATATATCCAAACACATATTCTTCATTGGTTATATAGATCACCATTATATATAGATGATATGCAAATAGTACCACTAGCCATCGCTTCAGCGTTCCAAAAAGGCCATCCCCGGGTGACCTGTGTGGCAGAGATGCTTCGTGTGGAGCCGCCTACGACCACCTGGCACTGGTGCTGTGCGGGGCGTCACTGGTGGAACCATGAAAATTGGTGAGTTAACCATCAAAAATGCAGAATTATCCATCAAATGGGGGTTAACTATCAAAGAATGGGTGTTTAACTACCAAAGAATTGGGGTGTCTAACCATGAAAGATTTTTTTCTGGGTGTCAATGGCTATAACGAAATAAGGGTTTAACTAAGTGTTCAAATTATTCATGCTCTCTGGGGAAATAAGAACTCTCTGGTAGATTAACAGTAGATTATAATCAATCCCAAGTCAGAGGTAAGCCAGTAAGAATGGAGACATTGAGCAGCCAAAATGGCTGAGTTGTCAACCCAAAAAAATGGGATTGTAACCAGCAAGATCAAAATGCAGGGGATTAGCAACTGCACCAGATTGACTTCTTGGAGGTGAATATTTCCATCACTTTTGCGACAATTTTTGGATTCTGCCGGTTGAAACCTGAAAAGAACACGTTTTCCCATTGACCACCGCTTGGAATTTCTAGTTCCGCCTCAAAACTTCTTCCTGGATCCCACGTCCAAAACTGCTTGATTTTGGGCCTCCACTGGGGTGGTGGTAGCATCGCAACCAAGCCTCGTTGATCCGAGAGGATCCAACTAATCCCATGTACTAATCCCATCCCCCAAACCGGCTATTGGATGTAGACATTTTGGGAGCTCTGTGGGGGGTATTGATTATGATATATTCGGGGGGATTACTGGCTGGCAGGATGGTCGGAACGTCGGAACCTCTTCCAGCTTTGCCATGGCTTACTTTGGATACTCTAGCAACAAAATCTACCTTCATCCATGGACGTACCTTTCAGCAGTTGGTTTATCCAATAGTACCCAACTATCGTTGGTTGATATCGGACCTCCTGAACATATCTATATCATTTATGGAGAATACCAATACCACCCATTTTTTACTGGGTAATTCTCCAACATATTCAACAAAGAATACATGTCCAACTCTTGTTGGTTCCCGTATTTTCATGGGTACACCCAGTCGCCGATGAACACCAACATCTATGACATCCTGCTCGTAGGTACTCAGGAGTTTTAGACACCAACAGGATCTGTCACCGAGATGTAGCAACCAAGATTCGGATGCAGCAATGTTCCCCCTTTCTTTTTCCAAGAAATTGTGTTTCATCCCAATTCTGGCTGGTTTTTCTCATTTTCGCAGCTCGCCATGGCTCAAATGGACCAACACCACCCGAGTTGCCCCCACGGACTGCACAAGGAGGCGTCGGCCTTCAAGACGCCTGCCGAGATTTCAGGCCGGGGATTGTGCCAATGGGCTCCAAAAAAAGGGTTCTCAAATGGTCACTTGAGGAAACATGAGGTTATAAAACATGGGATTTTAATCTCGAAGCGCGGGAAGTTGCAGGTAATTCTTTGGCCAGACCTCCTGCATTGCATCTTCTCATAGTTATCAGGATTTCAATTAAGAAAACGCGGACAATGATGACAATTACCAACTAGAATGATCTGATAGTACGCCTTGATGTCGAGTACACGGATGTTATCAACTTGAACTACTTCTTCACATCCATGCGCGGAACATTCGTATGATAAACGTGAAAGGGAAAATCGGGGAAAATCGAAACCATGGCAGTTGGGATCAGGTGGCTGATCTGAAGTCCTCTTTCGACATGACGAAGGTGGCATAGCTCACAAAGCCACGCTATATTTTAGTGGGATATCAACTACCAATCTTGGCTGAACATGAACCAAGGCCTTCAAAAATGCATAGGATCTCGATAAAATCCAAGACGTCATGTTTCATATCGTTTCCAACATGGAGATCCACCAGAATCCCAGTGATCAAACTGGAGATAGCTGGAATTAAGGGTAAAACCTTGGTGAAGAGAAGGGAACAGCTGATTTTGGGCGTTTTTTTTTCTTGGCTTCACAGCATGATCCCCCAGGATTTGGCTGACCTCCCGAACAGAGGATGCTGATGTCGCCAGAAAGACCCTCTACTGCCTGGCAGTGCCATGGTCAGCTTAAGCCAAGAATTCATGAGAATATCATGGGTATCTAGTGGGATATATATATATATATTGCATATGTCTGGTTAATAAATGTATATATATATATATGTATATATATGTATATATGTATGTAACTATGTATGTATACATATATAAATATTCCTAACTTATAACAAAATATCGATATATTAATGGGATATGTATTTATAGCCAACTTAATATGTTTGTA